CAGAAGTCGAATTTGGACCGAGCGACCGTCATGCACATGACAAGCGCCACGTTCCGCCAAAAAGCATATAGAGAAGTGTGTCTCTTTTCAAGCGTTCAAGGACTGCGGGAGACGCTTGAGAATGCTGCTCGGTCCTGTCAGTCTGTACAGAGTCGTCTTCCATCACATGAGCTGTATACAAGTGTCAGGGAGAACGGCAAGTAGGCTTGAGAGTTAGCTCCGGGAACAACACGGCGGCCAAGCAACGGGGCGTCTTCTTAAGGCATCTCACAACCGCTCTCGCCGGTACTCCTTGATATGAGCTCAAGACACCTCCTGCAATCAGTAGCGAGACCATCGAAAGAACGAGATGCAGACTCTCGACCAGATGGGCAATTGACCACAAATCGAGACCGGGCCCCCTTCCACGTGGGACTACGCGAATGTTGCCTACCGAGGCTGGGGGATCTGGACTCATGGCTATCTACACAGTACAAGATGGTCGAGCCACTACTCCGTACAGAAAGTGCCAGTGCAAACAACTCCCTTTCTCGCCCGATCCCCGGTAAGGGCAAATAAGTGAGAAAGATAAGCTGCGTGGCTGGGCGATAAAACCACCAAGACCGCCTGGACCTTGCCGGTTGCAGTATCAAAGCCCGGGCTTGGCACAACTGGTGGACACCCTAAAATGTAACTGCATTGACGATCAGTACCGCTCACTGGCTTTACCAGTGTTGCTCTCTTTCCACGGTACACGTCTCTCGATCGGTTGTCAGACTAGATAGGCTACCGTGTTTCACAGTACCGGATAACAGCATGGCAGGCACGTGGTGTTCTCCTTCCAGAATACCGAAAAGAGGTGGAGATAGCCTTGGGAGCGCCTAACCAACCCTGTTTATCTCATTTCCTGTCAAGTTGCCGTGGTCTGGGGACTAGAATCCGGAGGGTGAACATCCCGGTCAATCGTGGAGATGCCCGCAACTACCACTGCTTGGGGTTATACGATCTGTTCGGCAGTCGATATGGACGACTTACCATCTTGGCTCTTATCTCTGCTCGGATATAAGTACCACCAGGAGCCCGTCTGGGAACTCATTCCCATGGGCACATACATCTCGGCGGCAATATGGACCACGAAAAAGATAGCAAGCAGAACCGCGATGGAGAGCCGGTCATCGTCTCGGAAGAGCCATTGGAAGAAGGCGAGGTGTATGGGAGACGGCTTTCCGCGACTGAATGGGCCAAGTATCGTCAGACGAAGCGAGGTCTCACGCCTCGGTGAGTGTGTCTGCAGAAGTGTTCTGATGGTGTCAGGGCCGGTCAATGCCTCTGCCTTTACCGCCACAAGTGTACAGTGCTGATTGTACAATAGCCACGTTCAGTTGATGGCCATCGGTGGTAGCATCGGAACGGCCCTTTTCGTGGGCATCGGTGGCAGTCTCAAGAATGCCGGGCCACTCTCGCTGCTTCTGGGCTACCTATTCTGGGGGCTCCTCTTTATATGGCCATCCTACCTGTTGGTGGCAGAGATGCTCGCTTGGCTGCCCGTACGAGGCACCATTTTCGAGCTATGTGGCCGATATGTCGATCCTGCTTTGGGATTCGCCATGGGCTGGACCTACTTCTTTGCTGGGGCGATGCTTGTCTGCACCGAGTACTCCTCTGTCGCCACGGTCATGACCTATTGGAACACCAGCGTGAATGCGGCTGTTTGGGTTACAATGGCTCTGGTGGTCTGCGTCTTCTTTAATCTTGTGGCTGTGAGGTAAGTCTACTGTGCAGATCGTGCAAACTTCCTCACGTTCTAATCATGGCAATGCAGATGGTACGGGGAGTCCGAATTCATCATGGCATCGACCAAGATCCTCCTTATTATCGGGCTGATACTCCTCACATTCATCACCATGGTTGGCGGGAATCCAAAACACGATGCATATGGCTTCCGATACTGGAAACACGGAATGGCCATGCACCCATTTTACACCACCGGCGCGACCGGACGCTTTCTCGGCTTCTTCAGCGTTGTCCGATATGCCGCGTTCACAATCTCCGGACCAGACTTGATCTCCCTCGCAGCAGGCGAGATCCAGAATCCGCGACGAACAATCCCCCGTGTCGCTCGCCTCGTGTTCTACCGGCTTGTCGGTTTCTATGTTCTGGGCGTGTTATGTGTCGGGATCATTTGCTCGTCTCGCGATGCTCGCCTCATCAGTGCCATCAACGACGGGAAGGCCGGTGCAGCCGCTTCGCCCTGGGTCGTCGGGATCCAGAATCTGGGCATTACCGGTCTCCCCAGCTTCATCAACGCGCTCATTCTTCTGTCTGGCCTCTCCTGCGGCAACGCCTATCTTTACTCCACCAGTCGAACCCTCTACTCGCTTGCTCGAGACGGCCAGGCGCCCAAGTTCTTGATGAAGTGCACCAAATCGGGCATCCCGACCTATTGTGTCCTAGTGGTCACCGTCATCTCTCTGATCACATACCTCGTTGCCTCCAACTCCGCGGTGACGGTCTTCTTCTGGTTCATCTCGATTTGTACCATCACCTTTATCCTTACGTACGTGGGCATGCTATGGACCTACATTGGCTGGTACCGCGCTTTGAAGGCTCAAGGGATCGACCGCAACAGTCTCCCCTACAAGGCGCCCTTTGCACCTTATACCGCATGGCTAGCCATCGGCATCGGCTGCGTGGTCATGCTGTTCATCGGATTCGACTGCTTCGTGCCCTGGAGCACGCAGGGCTTTGTGACCAGCTACTTTGGGCTCGCGTATGGAGTCTCCATGTTCGTGTTCTGGAAGGTCGTGAAACGTACGAAGTGGGTGGATCCCAAGACCTGCGACATCTGGAGCGGCAAGGCCGAGATTGACGAGGAGTGTAAAGAATGGGAAGATGGTGGATTCGAGGAGGTGGAGAAGGCGAGATTGGCGCAGATGAACATAGTCAGGAGGACTTGGGAGAGGTTGTGGTAGAGGGTGTATCGCAGCACTCTCTACCTGGCATTCATGAGAGACTAAGACGAGAAATGTCCGTCTGCTGTTCGCAGCGCCAAAGGTTCTCATATCAGGCTATATTCTGCGCGAGCGCTCGACAATCGTATTGCAGGACCACTCCATCCCAATAATTGCATACCGTGTTGTGTTAAGCATTCGCCCTAGACTTGCTCACGAGTGTGCTGGCGGGGTCGAGGCGAGGCACGCAGCAGCTGAGCGACCTGCGCAAAGACGCTTGGGAACGAGTTAGAAGAGAAGTCCGGTCTTTCGGAGTATCTACTGAACTGCATTCCTGTAAGAGATACAGTACCTAGGAACCCCGGACTATCGGTCGATTCACAGGGCGGCACCATGAGTGCCAAAAAAGGAACAAAAGCGGCGTCATTCTCGTCTAGAATAGGACTAGTCCTAGTGGCGTATCTTGGCATTTCATCCCGGTGTCGGTGTCGCTGTTGCTATCGCAATGCTTCGCATTTTGGAGCCACTACACAGTACATCAGGCTGATTACGGGTTGCACTCTCTGTCGACGGGGAAGAAGAACGAATTCGTAGAGGACTGAGGCATTGCTGTCCTGATACTGACACTATCACGATAGTGTCATGACAGCGGTCCGACATCGACATCGACATCGGAGAGTGCTTCACGCTCAAAAAAACCATCTCCGGCACCTCTTCTGCCCATAGCTCTTCTTTAAGTACAAGAGCTCGGAATGGCGACATCTCACGTACCGCCGTCTACGCCGGCGCCGGCAGCACGTGGCCCTCCAGACGCGGCAGCTATGAAGAACCGCATCCTCACGCACATGAATGCCGATCATCAACTCTCACTACGCCTCTACCTGCAACATTACTCTCACGTCCCTTCCTCGGGCACCAGCTCGGCCAAGATGCTCGACATCTCCACCGAACACATGCTCGTGGAATCTAGCTACGGGCGCCACGTGATCCCCTTCGAGCCGCCCATGAAGTCTCTTATGGAAGCTCGCGAACGACTGGTCAACATGCACGTCTTGTGCCTGGAGAAACTGGACGTATCCGACGTGGTGGTCAAGAACTATGTCCCGCCTGACCGTGTGTGGCAGTGGATGCTCAGCGGCTTGTGCTTGCTGATCCTCTCGACCTTTCCTTTCCGCAGCTCGTTGCGACCAGAGTCAGGATCCGTCATTGCAAAGATTTGGAGTCTCGGCGGTGCGGCCCCCTGGCTGGCTCGGTTGAGTCATACACTCTCGCCCCTGGTTTTGACGACCGTCATCGTGCTACATGCCGGCGAGGCGGTATGGTTCATCAACCGGCGCTTAAATCGGCATTGGGTCGAGACGGGCACGGCTGTGTGGTGGTGCTGGGTCCTGGATTGTCTGTTGGAAGGTGGTGGGTGTTTGACCCGTTTCGATCGAGTGGTCAAGAGGATGGAAGCGGAGAAGAAGGGAGGCGGGAAGCACTGATCGAGATAACTGGGTGTTGGATCTCACCAGCCACAGTGACAACCAGTTGCTCAATGCGCCATCATTTCGCTTAGCTGTTCTGGATGCCCTGAGACGGATGTCCTGACGGCGCATGAAATGGCCGTAGGCGCAGGCAACGGTCCATGGCGGAGAGCAACACAGTTCTATATGTACACCATGCACAATATTTGTGCAATTAGCAGCTGTCGAGGTCGAGGACACAAGGAAGCAGTGGCTGTGGTTGCTACGGTGGTGACGATGGCTGGAGGCGACCTCGTAATCATCATGACAAGGCTGCGCAAGGCTGCGTTTAGAATCCCATTCGGCCCGGCGATTGTCTTGGCAGAAGCAACTGCGGCTTGTCCTTTTCATCACTCCATCACCGTCACCTTCAACCTTTCACTTCGCGCCAGTTTGGCTATCCTCAGGTCATCACATTGCAATCCGTGTCAACCTTGCTCCACCTCCCACCCACCCTGCTGCTCAAGGCTCCCTTACTCTTCGACAGATCTTACGCGCAACCACTCTCCCCATTCATTCCCCTGTTCCAGCTCACCAGCCTTTCCCTTCGACCTCTCATTACAGCATGACCAAGAAGAAGCGTCATCATCCCGACGTCGAAGAAGTCCTCGCGCGACCGTGGTGCTACTACTGCGAGCGCGATTTCGACGACCTGAAGATACTCATCAATCACCAAAAGGCAAAACACTTCAAATGTGAAAGATGCGGCCGACGCCTGAATACCGCAGGAGGGTTGAGTGTTCACATGAGTCAGGTCCACAAGGAGAACCTCACTGCCGTCGACAATGCTCTTCCCAACCGCGTGGGTCTCGATATAGAGATTTTTGGCATGGAGGGAATTCCTGAAGATATTGTTCAACAACACAACCAACGCGTCTTGACTAACTTCCACCAAGCCCAAGCTGAAAGACAGGCAGCGACCGGCAACAATGCGCAGAGTGGTCAGCTACCAAGCGCTCCCAAGAAACCCAAGGTTGAGCAGATTTCCGACATCAAGGCACGGTTGGCCGCGCATAAAGCTGCAAAGCTGGCGGCTGAGAATGGCGAGGGAGGATCTAGTGGTGGCAACACCCCAAAGACTCCTGCCGCTGCTCAACTTGCTCAACCGCAAGCGAATCCGGTAAGTCGTCTGAAGTCACTGTTGAATCACACAGACTCATCCAACCTGCAGGCCGCACCTCCCACCTATCCCGCATATCAACAGTCGTACGCCGTGCCACCCACCAACGGTTCGTACAGTCAACCCCCATCTTTCCCGCAGCCACCTGCTCCTGCTTCTACTCCCTATCAGCCACCGCCTGTCTATCCTACCATAGCTTCGCCGCCTGCAGTTGGAGCCTATGGTCAAACGCCGACACCACAACCTGGACAGCCGGGGTACACCCAGCCGTATGGCCAACAGCCATATGCACCACCACCAACAGCGCCTTTCCACCAACAATCGCCGCCGGTCGGGTATCCCCCACAACCAAGCTTTTCACCGCCTCAGTATCAACCACAGTATCCAGGTCAGTCGTTCCCGGGGCAGCCGACTGCGCTCGCTCGTCCACCTTATGCTGGCTCTCCAGCTCCCGGGTTTCCACAACCACATCCGCCTCTCGTACAGCCCTCGCTTTCTCCTGCTACAAACGGTAATTTTCCTGCACCAGTACGTACTGGCAGTGTAAGTCTACCTTCTGCTCCAGGACTGCCACAGAGACCAGCGTTTGGTGCTCCACCAGTCAATGCTTTTCAATTCCAGCAAATGCATCAAGGTCAGCTCCCTGCTTCGCAATCACATAACGTTGTGCCGCAGTACGCGCCAGGCCAAGCTGCATCAAGTACAGCTGCAGCACCACCTCCACAGCTCCCCACCGCCGCCACCGAAGCCGCTTCTTCTCTCGACGACCTGATTGCGAGTGCCTCGAAGCAAGCAGACGCTGACGCTGCGGCTGCGGCTGCCTCCGCCAAGACTGCTACGCCACCAGCCACGGCTCCTACTGCGACGGAGCCCGTGGAAGATAAAGCAGGACTCAAGAAAGAGAAGGAGAAGGAGAAACCAAAATCAACCAGGTTGGTCTATTCCGATAACGAGACAAGTCCTGAAGAGAGGATGGCCAAGTTGGCCAAGTACGCATTTACTCCTGCACAGAAGACAATTGTTGTGTAGGAACAAGTGCACGAGTCCTGCTCCCTTCGACCAGCATCTCCGCCATCGATCTCGGCACAAGTCGTCTCTGAAAGAGACTGCGGATGGAACCATCTTCAGTTGAGTCACGCGACTGTCGATTGGCTGACATTATTCTTCACCGTCGTTTCTGTCGCTCTACTGGGCTCGAACCATGGCGTGTGCGTGAGTATCGCCTTTGGTGAGTGAATGGCGTGTTCGGGCATTCTGGGTGAGTGGAGCACGCTCAAGGCAGGTTCAATCATCTTTGGGAGGAGGACAACTGACACAGGAGGACGTCCGTCTTCGCTTTTTTCTTTTTGACATATTGTATTTCGAGGTCCCCGGGTCGAATCTACTTTGACTCTCTCAATCAAGTCCGAATGGAGTCTAGCAGGGGGCGGGATTTCAGGTTCTGTGGGTGCGAGAAGGCAGCATTTAGCATTCATCCGGATACCAAGGCTGCTTGCTTGTAAGTGCAAGACGGTTGGTGTCTCCCTACATTAGTCTTCTTCTCAATGCTATCCTGCTGCCCAACCAATGTTCAACATCAACGCACCCCGTGAGGCTGCGGTCGCCGTCGCGTTCCGTAGTCGTTGACCATTGGGTGACACATGCAGCGCTAGACACTACAGTAAATGGCCATGTTACTTAGTATCACCTTTGCGCTACGGGAGTAGAGCGCCTATCTACTGTAATCTATTCTACGCCACGCTAATCTAGCTATCTACATACATACCTAGCTAGGGAAACCAGAATCGCCAGGCACGGGTAACCCTACTCGCACGTCAAAGCTGGATTCATTTACTCAAGTCAGGTCAAATCAGCTCAGCTCAGCTCGGCTCAGTTCAGTTTCATTGGGGGAGGGTCAACGCGTGTGTCTCGCTCGGGCATGGGCAGCAGCTGGGCTCCTTTTTTTGGTCTCTCTTCTTGACTCTCTTGCCTCTCTTGCCTCTCTTGCAGACCAGGCCAGGCCCGGTGTGTACTGTACCAGGTAGCCTGCGTGTTTGAGACCCCCTCCTCGCAATCTTCGCCTCGGTGGCTCAGTGGCTCGTCCGGCCGTTTTTGAGTCTATTCAGCTTCCCGCTTCCGCTTCCGCCTCCGCTTCGTCTGCGTCTGCGTCTGCGTCGAGAGGCACAATCGGTGGTTTGCTCTTTCATGCCTGTCCATTCATGCCTGCCCATTCATTCATTCAATTCATTCACTCACTCACTCATACCCCCGTTCGTTCGTGGTCCATTTTTTTCGTGGCCGGTTGTACGGAGTACGGGAGTATGGGTATGGGTATGTGTATGTGTATGCCCAATGCTCGTTCACATACATATTGTACCCGTCGCATCCTTGCCACCGCTCCGCTCCGCTCAGCCCCCTCCCCATCCCCATCCCCCATTCCCGTACTAGTTGCCACGATCCACCATTTTCCGTTCATGTTGTGCGCGTCCCCCTCGCGGCTCGCCTCTCGCCTCTCGCCAACTTTCCGTCCAAAGCACGAGCACGAGCACGAGCACAACCTCTTCGTTTCGCCTCTGTTCCTTTAGTCTTTAGTATCTTCGCTAGCTCCCAAATGTACGTCGAACCCCCTAGATAGCCGTCCATGCAACACACGCACGCACGCCCGCAGAAATTTGCCCGCGCACCGCTCACGCCCCGCTCACGCCGACGCCGTACCCGTCTCTCAACTTGGCCCTCACCGGGGCGCTCAAGCCGGCGACGAAGCCCTCGAATCGCTCCTTGCCGATCAAGCCGGCGAAGCCGTCGATGACGCGCGCAAAACTCGCCCTCACGTCGTTGTACTCCTGGCCCTGGCGGCCCTTGAGCGGGAACTGCGCGATCGCGCCCATGTACAGCGCCAGGGACTGCTCCATGGCTTGCGGGTTCTTCTCGAGGATGTTGTTGAAGCCGATAAACGCAGAGGCCTTTTCGTGCGACGTGCTGATCTTGCCCATCGACTGCAGGAACGGCTCGGCGAGCTCGCCCAGGAACGGGGCCAGGTGGACGGGGCAGGACAGGCCCAGCCGCCCGAGGGCCGTGCCGGCATTCTCGCTCGCCGCGTCGGGCACTTCTTCGTTGGTGATCAACGACAGGAGCCCGCGGTACAGAGGTTCGACGAACGAGTCCAGACGCGACGTCGGGGCCCGGGCCGCGATCTCCCCGAGCGACCAACATACGTTGGCTAGGACGTTGAATCCGTTCTCCGAGTCCGTGTCGGGAATGGCGTCGAGGTCGAGTTGCCGGATCAAGATCGGGATCAGCTTGGGTAGGTACGGGTCCAGTGATGGATACAAGGCAATCGCGCAGTCGCCCAACACTGCATACGCAGATTGTCGGACGTCCGTGGTGGGATCCTCCATGCAGAAACTCAACAGGTCGAAGAACTGGGGTTGCGAGTTTTGAACGAGCGGGGCCGACTTCTCGGGTGAAATGGCTTGGATGATCGCACTGAGCAAATCCAGCGCCGTGACGATAAAGTCCTTGTCGGGTTGGTCGACCGTCTGGCCACTCATAAACGCCATGTGCTGCTGCAGGTTCGCATAGATCAACTTGATGCATCTGTCGAAGATGGGCGGGGTGAATTGTGCAAAGGTGTCCCCGTAGGCCATGGCGATATACCCTAGACAGCCGAGCAAGGGGAACATCTCGCGACTATCGTCTTGGATCTTATTCCACCGTTCGATGAGCACCGGCATGAGGAGGTCGACGAGCGGTGGCTTGGCGATCTCGAGTCCGACGTTGTCCGCTAATGTCTGCAGGCAGTCGTACAGGATGTACATGTTCTTGTCCTTGTACCGCCGGAAGCACTCGGTGAACTGGCGGAGGATAGGTTCGACGTATGGTTTCAGCTTGTCGCCAGATTTCTCCTCGAGCGAGGCAAACGAGCTGGCACCTGCTTCTTGCACCTTCTTGTTATTGTCGAGCATGCGCTGCAGAAGGCCTTCCATCATGGGTTCGAAGTATCGCTGTTTTTCGGCAGGTGTTTCGAGACGGGCAGCCCATTCGGAGTATCGTGCTAGACACCAGCAGGTGATTTGGCGGACGACGGGTTCCTCATCGGAGAGGCGGGAGATGAGGAAAGGAACGAGTTCGGGCAGATGAGGGGAGACGACTTCCATGCAGCCTTCTGCGATGGCGCCCAGAGCCAGAACTGCAGCTTCGCGCTTCGGCCACAGGGTGTGAGACAGGTTCTCCTTGAGATACGGCAGAATGATTTCGAAGACGGCCGAGTGATAGTTGACCGCAAAAACATCCAGTGCAGCGGCGGAGCATTTGCGGAGACTCCATGCATTCTCAGGATCCTCATCATCCCAGTCGTCCTCATCTTCATCGTCATCATCAACTTCGCCATCCTCGAGGTCGGTTTTAGGCTGCGGTGTCCCGTTGCGCTGAGGTGTTCCTGGGGCCGACTCTTCGTCCTTGACCAACACAACACCTCTGCCAGCCTTTACCTGGGCAAACTGAGGCTTGATGTCTTCGACCCGGTCCTCGACATCTGCATTGTTTTCGTCCCCTCCAAGCCTCAAGGCGTCTTCTTCTCCGTAAACCATGCCTGCGAGGAGCACAGGAATGATTCGTCCCAGATAAGGGCCCATCTGATCGCGTAGTTGATCTTGTTCGCCGACGCTGAGCCAGAATTCCGCTGCGTCTAGAGCGAGTTCCGGGTGATCTGCCGACTGCTGCTGGGCAAGGATGTAATTCACCAAGCCTTCAAGGTGAGGGACGAGCATGTCCGGTCTCGAGTCCACGAGCTGTACAAGTGACTGGCACACTATGCGTCTGACTTGCACGTCTGGATCTGAAGCGAGTTGGAAGATGGTTTGGAGGTAGACGTCCAACGCCGAGAACAAAACCTGCGACTTTTGCGGGATGAAGGATTTGAGAGTGCCGAGTGCGAAGGTCCTGACCTTGGGGTTCGGGTGGCTCGCGAATTCCAACAGCTTGGGCACGATCACGGCCATGGGTCGTTGGCCTTGGAACTCCTTGTCAAGCAGCTTCCGGTTGTCCTCGCACACCTTCGCCAATGCGCCCATAGCGCCCTCTTGGGTCTCTACCGAGACATTTCCGCCGGTGTTGCTGACGAGAGCCAGTAGTTCCTGCAAAATCTCCGGCCATTGTAGTAGACCACCCTGTTGCACCGTCTCGGTGATGACCGTCCCCGCGAAACTGCGCAACTGGGAATTCGCATCTCGAAGAACATTGAGCGTGGCCGCTTTGATGTATGCTAGTTGGTCTGGGGGGATTTGAGAATAGAAGAGTTTGATGTGGTTTTTGAGGTTGACAGCGGCGGCATATCGGATGAGGAAGAGACTAGGTGCTGCCAGATTGAGGGTCCGGCTGAGCTCCGGTGTGCTGAAGATGTAGGTGAGGTAGTTGACATAGTCATTGTTGTTGCGCGCATTCATGAGCATCTGCAAGTTCGGCGGAGCGTTGAGTTAGCCAGGTGTCCGACTCTTGAAAGGTCCGGACTGGTCTGAGAGACCCGCATGGGTCTGGTTTCCCCCGGGTTTTGTCCCGGCCAAGGTTCAGACCGATTGACGACGTACCAGCTCAGCTTCTTTCTGCTTGTCCCTGTCATGGCCACTAAGAGAGTTCTTGAGATATTCTGACAATTGTCTCAGTCCATCCTCCTCCGGTCGCCACGCCATGACGGGCACCGTCGCCCGGGGCGCTCTTCAATCACGGTAAGTGGGGTGGCTTGGACGTTTTGCGACGAGGTTATGGTGCTACGACGGACGTTTGGATTCTTCGGTGACGTCTTCTGTTGGCGGAAATGACGACCAGCGCAAAGAGTCTAAATGAGGCGAGGTGAGGAGGTGAGGTAGGTTCACTCTGCTCTCACGTTGGCGTGAACCTGAACTTGAAGTCAGTGGGAACTTTTTCTCCAAACCCCAGAATTTTCACAGGTTGGCGGTCAGACATACATGGCAGACACCACCCCACAGATCTCTGAGGAGTCGGTATGGCCTACTCCGTCAAGGGCCTTCTCGATACAGGGACACGGCCGTCACAGCGCGATTCTTGGACAAGTGCAGTTCATGCGATTTGGAGAAGTGAAACTCTGCGGAATGGCGAACACGACCCAGATCGGTCGCTAGCGTCACGAGCACTAGCGTCACAAATTCCCCGCCAATGGCTGATCCCGATGATGACTCAGTGGGGCTGGATTTTCAGTCAGCTGGGTTTAAACCCCTGGCTCGTATACAGAATACAGGTGCTATGCATGAGAGTCAGAATAAGTGCAGAACAGATCGAGAATACGCTGGGCTTGGGCCCATCCCCTTCTTCACGTCCACACCATCTTCTTGATGGAGTGACCCAGCTGTTCAAAGTAGCCGGTCCGCCGCTTTGCTTCTTCTAGCGAGATGATATCCGCCTGCTCGACCAGATCAGTCGCTTGCTGGCCATCTTGTTCTGTGCTTCCTGTGATGGCCCTTTTGATGTTGTCTGCAACGTCTTCAGCCACCACGATTGCCGCCTTGGGATGATTTCCTGGGGACTGATCGGCATCCGTGGTTGCAGCGGGAATAATCTTCATGGCCAATTTGCGGGTTGTTGGAGCTGAAGCAGGACTGAGCCATGAAAGGATGCCAGTTCCTCCATCTATACGGCTCTCTGAGCCATCAGACCTGGGCGGAACATAGTTCTGTAAGGACCGGGTCATGGTGCGGATGGTACTCCCCTTGCCAGGATGATATGTTACCACCAGTCCCGCATTGAGCTCTTCTCTCATTTGCCGTTCGCTGAACGTCGATGTGATGTATGTCCCATACTGGATTCGCGAGACAGACCGGAGATCAACCTTCTCGAACGAGGCGAGCTTCTCCGTCGTCCAGTCAAACTTGCAACAGTACAAGGCCGCGTCCGTCAATAGCACAACTGCTTCCTCAAAGGGTAATGTTCGGAGTGTGTTCTCATGCGCCGGTGTCAACATTGTCCAGCCGTGGATCAGATCTTCGTCGTTGCCTTGTATGACTTGCTTCGCACAGTTATCGATCGCGGCTTGTCGGGCTTGGTCAATGGATATGCCCGGGTCTTTGGCCATCATGCTGCTTTCAAAGTCTTCAAAGACTCTCCACGACGTGTGGCCAAGTAAAAAGTCGATGACTGCTTGTGAGAAGTAGTCGTTCACCATATTGTTATAGTACCTCGTCAGTGTCAGGCTGAAATCGTTCAGGGCTCCACGATAATTGCGCCGTCTAGTGCGTGTAAAGTCTCCTTTCAGTGCCGCTGTGGACGCGTACAGGCGGGATATTGCGTCTCCATTGTCCGCCCACAGAGTGTTGAACCAGGTGGTGGTCTCATCGTGCAGCAGATCGATGACGAATCCCTCCCTAGCCAGGTCTGTCTGCAACATGTACTGGCCAAAGGCGCTCATTGCCACGTTGGTCCGGTCCAAGCAATCCATGCAGTTGGTGCGGATGATGCCTGACTGAAGTGACTCGACTCCGTCCTTGGAAATCACTGTCTCTCCAAACTTCTTGAGCGTGTCTTCGAGTTTGTCTACAAGCTTCGACACATTTTCGAACTTCATCCCTCGACACTCAGCATGGAAGTCAAACCACTCAAACTGGACGTCCTCGAGCTGGTTGGATTCCTGGAGTGCATGCACCGTTTTCTCAAATGGGACACCAATAATGTTCTCGGCGCCATGCTTGTCGATGAGACATGCGATTTGGACGCCACCATACCGCCTCTTGAGATCCTGGAAATGCTTCTTCATTGCTGTCTCGTTTTTGGCACCCGATTGATGCAACATCGGCGTCGGTTTCAATGAATATGGCGATTGTGAAAAATAAAGCGGTATAGAGGAACGTATCTGCACGAACGACCGTATCCGTCTCGATGGAGACCAATCAGGAGCGGAAAGAATCTGCTCGGTCTCGACTGCGTTGGCACAGTTGCCTTCGTCATCCAGTCCGCGGCGCAGGTACCGAAGGCCCGATCGCTTGACCGACCGCCGCGAAAGCAATGTCAAGAGATAGGACTGAGTCTCTCCGTTGTGGTCTGCAAGGGCTTGTTTAGCGTGATTGATGGCGTGTTGTACTCCAGCGGATTGTCCGTCGTGTTCAGCATCCACCACGCAAGCCGACTTTGGATTTTCGGCCTCTGCTCTCTTGACGATAAAGGTCCTCTGGCCGATGAAACCCTGAATGATGGGCATCATCCACGAATCTTGCCGCGCGTCAAGGAATGGCCCTAGCATGCGGCGATTCCAGAAGTACTAAATTCCCAGTCAGCCATCTCTATTTCCGGCTCCGAGGGTGGTTGCATACCAGAGGGTCAAGTGTCTCTCGTGACGGCGGTTCTGGTTTACCATTCATCAATGCCAGTCTCCGTGTAAGATCAAAGTCGTAGGAGAAGAAATAGCTTCCAGACGTCAGGAGCATCCTGGTCCTTCGAAGGATTTTAGGGATAGCTTCTGTTATGGAAGCGCCGCCCATCAGCTCCTCGGCGTCCTTCTCATGAGCTTGCTCTTTAGCCTCGGGGTCTTCCTTTCTTTCAGGCTGATTCGCTGCCACTGCTGCATCGGCCTCCGTGGACGGGCTGGTCGACTTGACCCGGTCATCCTGCTTTGAGGTAGCTGGGGTGCTTGTGCTATTTCCCCCACCCCAGCCCTGCTTGGAGAACCACTGGGCAGCAAACCGACCATATTGGCCTCGATTGGCAATAACATCCCTGGCAATGCTGGTCGGGTTGGAAGGCTGTCTCTGCGGAGGCGTCGGATCAATGGGTGTCTCAGGCTCGGGATGATCTCGCGGGTTGGAGTCGTTAGCCTCTGTATCGCTCACATCCGTGTCTGTGTCGGTTGTAGAGGTTTCCGAGGTAGATAGAGCCTCGATTGCTGTAGTGATAGCCCGATTGGCTTCGTTCTGAGAAGATAATGGGACGATTGCAACATTGGTGATGACGTAGATCGGTCTGCCAAACACCTGCGCGACTTGTTCACGCTGGGTAATCGCAACAAGGAAGGACGACGAAGCAATGGAAAGCAATCCTGCCAATGTCTAAGCGATTCGTGGTTTCTCAGCTTGCAAGACACGGCAACCCTACCGACTATGCCATGGGCTTCCAACGGAGCTGGCTTGTTCGCTAGCGCATCAGACTTCTGCAGTTCTTTGATCTGGCGACTCTTGTAATCAATCTGAATTGCTTTATGGTGTTCGGCCGGGCCATGGGCTTGGAGGACGATGCCGTCGACAGCTGCCCAGATGAGCAGTCGGCGGACTAGGCCCATTTTTGGTCGACAGACTAGCAGCAATTTCTGGCGTGAGACGCATCAATCTCGGGCGAGAGCGGAGCTAGCTGCCAGAAGGGGTGTTACGGTGGATAGCAATACTTGTAGGTTACGACGCACCGTTCCTGAAAGTTGAGGTTAACAACTCGACTCGGCGATGTTGCTCGACTCTGGCAGCCGCTGAGTCTGACATCATTAGACGTCATCCTCGTATCGTATACGGTATTGAGAATTTCAGAATTACCAGTACGAGTAAGGTAGTCAGGCTCGCCAGTCAACAGATCTTCGTCGCGAATCGACTGACTACCATTGGAAAGGATTTGGAATTATTGTCAAGGATGGTTGTAGAATTGGTCTTCGATCCCATGTCCCCGGAATTTTATCTCTACCAAAAGCGATGCCGTTTCTTTGTACCCTCGTTAGCGTTACAATCAATATCTTCCGCCTGAGCCTGTGTCATGAAACCTCACATCTGGTCTTCTTTTCGTGCAATACAGACGCCGTGTCATGAAGAAGCGAAGTCTACACCCTGCACTTTTGCTGCTAGCAAGTCCGGCGAATCCAGCCTGACACCAACATTTGCCTTGATATCAGCGACGTTCGGGTCTCCGCCAAGCGGGCCCGCCTCATCATGGGTGAGAAGAGGACTCCCTGGGACAGCATCCAGCGGAGCTTCGTGGAGGGCGGGCTTCTTGTGGGACGCCAGTTTGCCGGCGGCTTTCTTCTCAAGGGCTCCTTTGACCCAGTCTGCCACCTCCCGGTCGGCTGTATCTGGTGTCGAGCCGTTCGCAAATACTGACGAAACACCTGCCTCTGCTGCTTGTTCACCTTCCTCGTCTTCTGTTATCGTGGGTGGCTTCAACAACGGTGCCAGCCAAGCATGTCGAAGAAGCATTGCATAATTCGGCCTGAGCCTAGGAATCTTGTTGAGACAACCTCGAACGAAGTCAATGGCAGCCTCGGAGAACTGGTCAGCGGGTAGATCAGGTGGGTCACCATCTACAATGGCCTGGCATCTAAGTCAGCGTTGATACGAAAAGCGGCGATGAGGAAGAGCATACACTCAGCTGACTGAATATATTGTCGTAGGTCTCCGGCGGATAGGGATACCTGCCAAGTGCCATTTCGATGATGGTGAGACCGAGTGACCAGATATCGGACTGCACGCTGTATGTGCCGCCACCAGCTCCCACTTGAGCCACGCCTCCCCCCGAAATTCGTTCTGGAGCCATGTAACTCTGGCAGCCGATATTGGTCTTGGCTATCGAAGCCACAAGGTTTCCACTGACACCAAAATCGCAGATCTTGACCTGTCCACGGGTGTTGACGAGGATGTTGGTCGGTTTCACATCGCGGTGAATGATGTTGTGATCGTCTTTCAAGCATTTGAGACCCATGACCGTAGACAATGTGATCTTTTTGAGTACGCCTTCAGGAACCCCGTCGCCGTACAGCTTGTCGATGGAACCACCATCCATGTATTCAATACAAATGTATACTGAACCTTCTTGGAAAAATGCGCCGTAGAAATCGATGATGAACGGTGATACGCAACGGTGGAGGATGTCCAGCTCCATGATGATGGCGGCGAACTTCGAGTCTTCCAGCTCAAGCCGGATTTCTTTCATAGCCATGACAAGACCGCTCGTGCCTTTAGTGTCGACCTGCGAGTCTGTGTCCTCGTCATCCTTACCGAGCGAGGTCGAAGATTGCCGTATCATGTTCCCTCGAAGCCCTAGACCCGGTCGCCTCATCTTCGGTCGGGCATGCCTGACCTTGAAAACTGTGCCATAATTGCCCTTGCCCAACTCTGCAAGAGTGTCAACTTCATCCAGCGATATCGAAAACGTACTGCCACCAGCAAAATCAATACCACTTCCGTGGATGACCGCTTTGTTTTGGAAGTTGAGGGTGCCTTTCTTCGTGTCGATGATGTTGGAGTATTTGTTGAACTGTGAGCCAGTCTGGTTGTTGTCCTCCTCCTGGCCAGCAGGGGCGGGTTTATGAGCGTCCGACAGCTTCATACCTCCAGGTTTTAGCCCTCGTTTTGCCGCCAGTCCGCCCATGGGAGCACCGGGCCGGGGGCTCATCATTCTGGGACTGCCGGCAACAGGTGACGGCGACGCACCGAAACTGGGCGCGTTCGGACGCTGCATGCCGGGAGGTAATCTTAGATTGGCAGCGGCAGAATTGGGCGAGGACGGAGGACCTCCAGCCAGAGCGCCGCCAGCAAACCCTCCACCTGGTTGTTGGCCAGTAAAGGCCCCTGTCGGTGCCTTTGGAGCACCTTGCCGAGACAACGAGAAAGCCTTCATTTTTGCTTGTATATCGGAGTTTAGCCCGCTCGCACGGGTAGGTGGTGGGCCGGGTCTTCTGGCCGCGTTGGTCGGGCCCAGCGGGGCGGAGGAGGGGCTCATCGAAGTCGCCATGCCTGCGCTCTGCGAACTCAGTGACGGAGGTCTTGTCGGCGACTGAGGTGTTGGTGAAGTCGAGTCTGTGTCCAACTGCTCGGGCGATCTTGAGATCTCAGGGGAGGACGGCTGCAGTGATGCGTCGTCCATGGTGACTAAGAGCAGTTCCGTTCTCGGGTGGATGTGATGTGGCTGCGCACACGGCTGCGCGTCTTTAGACTATCATGCGACTGCTATGCCTGCTGGGAGATATTGAGGTGGATGCAGCGGTGCAATGCCGTCGGGCAGAGATGGAAGAAGTGATACGCGGCAGGTGGTGGGGTAGTCGAAATGGGTGGACTGAATTAATTCGTTCGAAGCTGTTCGGTGTCCTGCGGCTCATCCGACCGGAGCAAAATCGTCAAGGATCTGCTGAGCAAGCAGACGCTGTTTCGCCTGCCGGAAGGGCCTCAAATCGGGAGGGAAGAAGGGATGGAAGGTGCGAGGAATTGGATTCGTGGCTCGAAGGTGAAAGGCGTTTGTAGAGGCGGCTCAGCTCGCAATCGGCCCAAGCCCAAGAGATTGGAGCCTTGACGATGTGCGCAGCGGGAACGTCCTACGAGGATTGGGTATTTGTGGATTTGTAGACTGAATTGTTTGACCAAGAGAGGATCTTGGAGGGGCGAGCCGATGATGGAGGATGTCAGGCACAAACACCACAGATGTCTGTAAGATAGAAATGGAGCCAAGCCGGTTCTGGATATGGGGAGTGTCGATCGGTTTCCACCGTCCTCCAGATCCTGAGGGTAGAAAGCGGACTTGAGCAAAATAGGTGTAGGAGATTCACTAGCCAGCGAGGCGTACGAGTAGCAACTGGCTGGCTTTGCAGTTGTACCGTGTTCGAGCGGGAGAGAGGGAGAGACCGAGTCAACAGTTCCTCAACCAAGAATGTGAAGCAGAAGTGACTAAGGGCTTGAGGTGCAGTTGTGCCGCGGGTCCAGCAGCAGCTACTCCGTAGAGGTAATGCTAGGCTTTGGGCTGGATGATGATCCCAGCAACGACCGACATGAAATCGTCATTATCCCCAGGAAATTACCGGTGAAAGACTTGGGCGCATTGTGCGGTAACTACCTGACCTACCCAGGACAGTCTGATATGACCTTCGGTGCCGAACGAACTTCGATTGAGTTCAGAGGGCTCCCGACCGGGGAGGGTCAGTATGGCATTTCGACTTTGCTGTCCCGGGCAAACCAGCCTTAACCAGACCCAGCTTAGGGGCTGTCCCAGGCTTGCAGTGGCTGTTGTTCCCAGGCATCGGTGCGGCCAGCTTCCCGGTTACGTGTGTTGTACGTCACCTTGCAGATGGGGGTACGTGTGAGGCTTCTCTGACGCGTCCAGCGATGTCGACGACACCCACTCATGACCACCGACTTATCTGTATGGCACAGACACTGGTATTCAGCCATTGCGATTTGGCCGACGCTGCACAAAACGTCTTTATGATTATAGCACATTATGAAGTCATGTTACATTGAGGTAAGGATTAACGTCTGTTATCTGAGACCCCTTTGTGCTTGTGCACGTTCATGAGCTGCAAAGCAATCAGTATCAGTACATTTGAGCATCCTAATAGGCTTGCTTGCGAAACCGCCCATCCAGGTGCTGATACGCCATGGACGCCGCGCCTTGATGCCCAACATAACGAATCTGAATTGGCAAAACTGCCTCCATGTCCAATTCCTAACACATTCCATGTTTCAAGCTGTTGCCCATTCCACAGTCTCAAGCGCCAGGAGCACCAATACCAGTGTCGACGGTAGGATCCAGACGACGTAGCTCTGGAATAGAATATTGGACATGACGGTGGGATAGACGTTGTTGGTCTGCGTGATCGCACTCAGCTGGAGCGCGGACGGCGCTCCTGTGAGCAGAAACGCCACCACAATAAAAATCTTGTCGTCCACTATGCTGACTGGGACATACTTGGCGACCAATGCTAAGAAAGGTGCCATGATGATGGTCGGGAAAACCATCCGAGCCACCAGAGAAGCATAGAGTAATCTCTTCTCTTCCGTGGGATCAGTGATGTCTCCTGGCTGGTTCTTGGGGATCGTGTTCCGAGCGAGATTGCCTCCCAGCACCACCAGGATAAGTGGCACCGCGACACCTCCGCTCTGCTGCACAGCGCGAGTCGCCGAATTAGCCAGAAAAGTCCCTTTGTCGAAGAAAAGATGTTGCAGTGTAGGTACGGACGCCACGATGATGGCGGCCAGCATAGCCCAGAGGGGTGGGTTCATGAATTCCCAGACTCCAGCCAGAAAGCCTCCAATTTTCCTCGCAATATATGAAAGGGCTTTCTGTACGGGCTTCGGTAAGCACTCAAACGCCCTTCTTGACTTCGTCCGAATCACATGGCCGGTTTTCAAGAGAAAGTAGCGGATGATATTTCGCCCTTGGTTGATGTAGCCTTTAATGCCACCGCAGTCCTCGTCATATTTCTTGTTGTCCGGGTACTGCAGCCACGCCGGGTAGTCCACGTGGTGGCGAGGAGCCACCATTCCATTTGCAGGGCTGGCGAGCAATTCAGGAGCACCGTTGGCGGACCCGTTTAGTGGTCGGTGGGGTGAACTCCTTGAGGACCGGTTGTGCGGCGTGCGCGGAGTTTTGAGACCATCGGATTTTGAGGTGGTGGGAGACTCAGTTCCTATCCGGGTCTGGTCATCGTCCTCGTCCTCATACGGCTCGAAGTCCTCGCTGCTATCACGACCGCCATCATAGCTCGGACTCAACAACCGGCGGGGTTCATCATCTTCCTCGTCGTCTCGATAACCAGCACGGCCCCGCTCAACCCGGTCTTCTTTCTTCGTGCCTCCCTCCGCTTCCGTATACTGGTCGGGTGGGGCTAGTAGGACGTTGTAGCCCCAACTCCAGCGGAGCAATTGGCCCAGCTGCTGAAAGATCAGGAGATAGAGTATGCCTCGGGCTCCGACCTCCTCATCATTGTCGTTTGGTACCTTGTCCCAATGCAGCCCTTTGAGTGTCTTGGATAAAGATAGAACGAGCGAGATAGGGAGGGAGTTCGAGTTGCCGAAGACACCCATGGCGATCAGAAAATTTGCTTGTCTCTTTTTGAACTTCATGACCTTCCCAATCGCCCACGCGCACGCGTATGAAACCAACGTCTGGACCACGAAGATGGCCGGGATGATGGCCAGATCAGCCAGCTTCTCCGCCGTGAGTTGCGAAGCCAACTTGGTAAAGATCAGGCATGGTGTGAACAGCATGACGTTGAGATTGGCCATCATTTTCTGAGCCTCAGCATCAAACATGCCCTGTCTCGCCACGATGTACCCCGGCAAGCTGACACACACCACCTCTAGCACCGCTTCAAACACCAGGAGGGTCAGGTTGCCGAAGCTGGGGTGCCCGGAGTGTGGAGGCGGCTTCTTGAACAGCTCGACAACATTGTCGGCGAAGGGTATCTGATCCCGCCGAACCAGATTACTGAGAACTTGACGATTGTGAATCGAGGTCGGACTGGTGAAGTAGTCGGATAGAGGCATCCTGTCGCCTTGACGGACGCCTCGAGACCCGGGAAGGAGGAGGAACTTGGGGCTCGTCAGAGGAAGAATCTGAGGAAGAGAGAGGGACTCGGCTGGTTTTCAGTTGGCAGGTCGCTGTGGCCGCCCCAAACAGCTGGCACGGATGCAATCTCTTGACGATAACGCAGTACCAGCTGCAGGCGATCGTGATCAAGTCGTCCGGGAGACCGTGCCGCGGATGGGGTGGAAGCGACGTTGCTAAATCAATACAAACAGGAATACAATCCACAAGAAGACAAGGGTTCAGAAGCAAAGATACGCAGCTGGTGAGAGCAAGGTCGGGCGGCGTCGAAGGTTGGCGACACGATCAATCATTGCGTGCGCGGCGCACGGTGGCATCTGATTGGGGCCGCGATGCTGCAATCGCTGTGCTGCGCCATAATTAACAAAAGTATGTAATTCGTGGCTGATCTCATGTGCTCCGTACTTCTGCTGCAACCGGTTTAACCTCCGCCACAGCCTCCAGCTATTGGTCCATGGCACCGAAAACAAGTCTTGCAAGCACCAGGCTGGGCCACGCCTGAACTGGGCCTGCCGTGGCCTGCCTGGGCACGCTGGGCAGCACCCCTGACACGTGGTCCTCGGCGTCGAGTGCCTCCCCTCCTCCCGTCGACGTCGCCCGCGCTTGAGGCCAACTTCACTACGCGGCAGTACCTCGTACGCGTGCACCATGAACCCAGTGAGGAACAGACGTGGTTCCCTAAATGGCATGTCTCCAGGTTCAGAAGCCAGTGAGTGAATAATAAAGTCAAGGCACAAGCTGGTCCAGCGCCAATCGGATGGCTACCGCTGCATCGAATGCCGACACCGAATACGAGCGAGGTCGATATAAAGCCAAGTACGAGTAATCATGTATTTCACAGGAGGGAATCATATCTCGACGAGGTCAACTTCTGTCCATGTGCAATAGCGTCTCGCCATGCGTGCCCTCCATCTGCCTGGTGTCCCTTCAGGACAAGCCCCTCCGTTCAGCTTCCCAGACAAACCAGCATCGCCCTCTGATCTACAATACACGGCAGCGGGTTACCCAGGACCTGACTTCCCATCATCTGCCTCAGAACACATGTACCTGATCCGCGTGCTCGTCACTGCTCTGACACGAGGCGAACTCACGTGGCACGAAATCCTCGACCCATCACGCTTCCAACCCCACAGCGGAGCAATCCCTGGACACGACGTCGTCGGTCTCATCGACAAAGTGTTTCCATGCTCCAAATTGGCCGCAGAGCCGAAATTCTCGTGCGGCGATCAGATCTGGGCGCTCCTGGACTTTGGCCGCGACGGCGCTGCCGCAGAGTATACCCTCGCCCGTGAAACCGAACTCAGTCTGGTGCCACAGAGGGCTGATCCCCACGATATCTCCGACGAGGAATGGGAGGAACGACTTGCGACGCTCCCCTTGTCAGGGCTCACTGGGTATCAAGCTCTCTTCACACAGGGAGGTCTTCCCCTCCCGACAACATCGACAGCCACGCCCGCGAAGAGAGTCCTCGTTCTCGGCGCAGCAGGCAGTGTCGGCCTACCGACGCTCCAACTCGCAAAGGCAGCCAACATGACCGTGATCGCCACGGCAAGCGCCACATCCTCCGCCTGGCTCCTCGCCTCGCTTCTCGACCCATCGACAGATACACTGCTGGACTATACGTCCCCGGGCTACACATCCGTGGCCTCCTCCTTCCACGTCCTGAATCTTCCGCCCGTTGACCTCGTCGTAGACTGCATCGGCGGCGAAACACTCTCCTCCTTGCTCCTGACAGCAACGCCGCCGCTCTCCTCCATCGTCCGTCCCGGCGGGAGAGTCATCACGCTTGTCGCTCCTCTGAAAGTCTACGGCGAGGTCACATCCGCGCAAATGACAAAGAATTGTGCAAGTGCGGGCGTGGATGCTGGGTTCTTCATCGTCAAACCTTCGGGCGAGGAACTGGACACTCTCGGACGTTGGACCAGAGAGGGGAAATTGGCCGGCTATGTCCACGGAGAGAAGGCATTCCCTCTCGCAGGCGGACGGTTGGCGATGCAGATTACCGAGGCGAGGGGCCGGAAGGGTTGTGGCAAGGTCGTGGTCAGGGTCGCCGGGCAGTAAATTCTGAGAGACTAGCGCAAGCGAATTTCGCGATCAAACATCCACCTTTCACTCGGAACGCAGCTGACCATCATCTCGGTGGAAGAACGATGAACCGTCTCCTCTAGTTCCCTCGAGAGCTTTAATCAGAGCGAGTAAACGCTACCACATTCTGGTCCGATACGTTTTCGTCCCAAATTCAAGCGCCCTCGTTGAATGGGTAGACAGAATAGTGGCAAGGCTCAGCTCGTTCAACGAAGCCGGAACCGAAGATGAGCCAAATGGCAGGATGTGCGTCAGTTGATACTTCAAGGACCACCGGTTCTCCAGCATGCCCGTATGTCCATGGTAGCCAGTGCGGCCCATGACTGGCCTGGTCAACGCCCCGTCCCAGTACTTTTGCCCAGCAAAGGAGCGCTCGCCACCGAGGCAACGCCGTTTCGTTAGCCGTACAGAGCCTCGCACTACTCCAACCTGTAGCCCGCCACTTAATATTCACCTCCAGAAGCATCAGCAGCAACTCAAGGACGAAAAGTCCCAGCAAATTTCTTGTTGTAATCGCGCATGGACGGAGCAAAGCCCGCCGAACCACACTACGATCCTTGCTTTGCCTCTGGCCCGCTCCCTGCCTCTGGTTCTCCGTCGCCTTGCGCTGGTCGTTCGACAATAGTGGCCTCAGCATCCCCCTCGGCAGCCTCAACCTTCGCCACGGCCTCCGTTTTAGCCTCGCCCTCGGCATTCGCCAGTTCTCGCTCCATACGTCCTTCTTCTCGGGCTTTGGCGGCTTCATCGTCTCCAATTACTTCCTGTTTGATGGCTGCTTCTTCGGCCGTTGCGCCGGTAGCTTCAGGTTCAGTGGTTGCTGGAGGAAGATGCGGCGCCGGCACAGCAATGGCGCTTTCATCTTCGGCTAAGTGGGTTGTGGTTTCCGCAACTGTGGCGTTAGCTGCGACCGGCGAAGGCGCTTCTTCTCCCGGAGTCGGTGGTGAATCGGGAGGGGTACGTTGCTGCTGTACTGTGCTTGTCGCTTCCTCCATCGAATGTGGCAGCTCGTGTTGGGCTGCCGTAGCGGCGAGGATATGGCCATTGGGTGCATCGGCATCCCCCATCTCGACATCCCCATCATCAACTGCTGGCGTGTCGTGAATTGGTGACTGAGGGCCAGAAGCCGGCGCTGCGCCGTTGACGTTTTCGCCGTTTTGGGGGCTTGGAGTTGGTTGTCCGATCCTTTCTAGATCATCATCCACATTCATCTCGTCTGCTGCCTCATCGGGGAGGCTTGATGCCTGTTGCGGTGTGCCCATGCCACTTCCCGTCTCGATACCCGAATCGTTGCCGCCCACATCCATGATGTGGCGGTAGTTTTGCATAACACGTCGTTTTCGGCTGCCTGACGGGCGACCATTCCCGTCTATCTCCATTTCTTCGTCTTCGCTATCTGATAGCTCGCCGTTCTTTTGGACGTATTTGTCTGCTCTGCGCTGAGTGCGGCGCTTGTCACTATTCTCATCTTCGTCGAGATCATCCAGAGCAGCTTCGTCATCGTCATTCATGCCGAGCGAGTCCCTCGGCACATCGGTCATTTGGACCGACGGAGCATGAGCGGTTCGCTTCATGTTTTCAAGGACTTGAGTGAGGATTTTGTCCAAGTATTCTCTCGAGTTGGCGTTGTCCATGTTGGATGGCCGTACGTCAAGTTCATAGTCCGGGGCGTAGTACTGAGGGGAAGTTAGCAGAGTTGGAAGGGCCACGTGTGACCCTGACTTACCTCGTAGTAGTCGTTGTATGGAAGGTTGGCTGTCATTTGCTCCCCCACAAGGCAGCCAGTCTCAAATGCCCAAGTTCTCGCGACGTTCCGCATCGTGTAGCCCCCTCCTCCAAGAATGAGGGTGGGGAGGTTGAATGACTTGACAAATTGAACGCAGTTTGCATGACCCTTCATGCTAAGATTGAAGCACCCCAGTCGGTCACCCGAGAGAGAATCACCGCCGCATTGCAACACGACAGCTGATGGCTGGTAGTACTCCATAGTGGCCCGAATAACAGGCTCAAAGATGCCTTTGTACGAAGTATCGTCGATTCCGTCTCGGAGCGGGAAGTTGACGGCATAGTGTTTGCCCAACCCAACTCCAATATCCCTGAGCTCGCCGGTGCCGGGGAAATATTCGCCATATTTGTGGAAAGAGACAGTCATTACTCTGTCTGTAGTGTAGAAAGCCTCTTCCACGCCATCGCCGTGGTGGACATCGATGTCGATGTAGAGCACTCTCTTGTGAAACCTCAGAAGCTCGATGATGCCGAGGACAATGTCGTTGACGTAACAAAACCCAGAAGCTTCTGATTTCTTTGCGTGATGCAGACCACCAGCCCAGTTGATGGCTATATCTGCCTTTTGGCGGTTCAACCTGGCGGCACCTTCCATCGAACCACCCGCACTGATTCCGCAGAATTCGAAGAGGCCATCAAAGACAGGACAATCATCGCCGACGTTGTACTTTTGCTGCTCTTTCTGGTAAGAGTCCATGTTATCCGGCGTGACTTTTGCAAGGAAATCGATGTATTCGTCGGTGTGAAATTGGGTCATCTCGTACTTGGAGGCAGGCTTCGCGCGGTAGATTTCCATCTTCTTGTAGAGGCCATAGTTCATGACCAGAGAATGAGCAAGCCGTATGCGGTGAGGCTTCATCGGATGGCCCGAGACATATGCGTAGTTGCCGACGTCCGAGTCGTAGAAATAGGCGACTCTCTTCTTGTCCTCGCGCTTGTGGTTTGGAGCATCGACTGGGGCGAACGCCATGCTGGCCGAAGCGCCGTCGAGGCGTGAGTCAATAGTAAGGACGACGCTGACGGAGGGGAGGAAGACGGAGATGATGCGCAGGGGGGATTTCTTTTAGTCACTCAGTGGTGAGGGATGGCCAGAGGGAATTCTCATGGATGTGCGCAGACAATGACACGCTCCTTCTCAGGTCAGTGACTGCGTTGTCCTGCTGGAGTGTACGAACTCGCACAGATGACAGTGTGAGCAGGTGAACCGAGTCGCGACGTGAATCGCAGCTTGAATGTCCTGGAAGATGCTCTTGGCCCTTCTATTTCTCGTCTCCAACGCTTCATCACTTGAACCTGTGGAGCAGCCAGTGACGAGCAGCTCCATCGCCGCTAGCCGCTTCCATCGTGGTTGTGGGTCTTGGAGATGTGGACGCAAGTTGGATGCGTGCCTGGCCTGCATCTGCACCAGCTGTTGACTTTTTAAAGGTACTCGTCCTTCATTAAATACGTGGTCGATTCGCGGACTGACCGGGAGGGCTTACACACTTGAAGTACCACAGGTCTACTCTGCAGAATCTGGCGCTGGGAACTTACCTGCATTCCAGATCTACCAGATTGAATCCCGCCGCAGACTCGCCTCGACCTGAATTATCAATCTCGGATTTCTACAACACCCATCACCACCTTCCTTGTCCTCCTCGTCCTCCCTTGCCGTCACCTTCACCCTCACTCTCACCCTCACCTCCGCTCCCATCACGATGGACCGCTTCAACCGCATGCTCGCCGCCGCCCAGATCGGCCAGCAGAGCGGCGGCGACACCAACCTCGTTGACAACTCCGAAACCGTCTACATCTCCTCCCTCGCTCTGTTAAAGATGCTCCGCCACGGACGGGCCGGTGTGCCCATGGAAGTCATGGGCCTGATGCTGGGCGAGTTTGTAGACGACTTCACGGTCCGCGTTGTCGACGTGTTCGCTATGCCTCAATCAGGGACGTCCGTCAGTGTCGAATCCGTCGACCCGGTGTTTCAGACGAAGATGATGGATATGTTGCGCCAAACAGGTCGGCTTGAGACGGTGGTGGGATGGTACCACTCGCATCCAGGGTTTGGATGTTGGCTCTCAAGCGTGGATATCAACACACAGCAGTCCTTCGAACAACTGACACCTCGCGCCGTGGCCGTCGTGGTTGACCCCATTCAGTCCGTCAAGGGGAAGGTCGTGATCGATGCCTTCCGCCTTATCAACCCGCAGGCCATCATGATGGGTCAAGAACCGCGACAGACAACCTCCAATTTGGGCCACTTGAACAAACCCTCGATCCAAGCACTCATCCACGGCCTAAACAGACACTACTACTCGATTGGCATTCAATACCGCAAGACAGGGCTAGAGGAAAACATGCTCATGAATCTACACAAGGAAGTCTGGACCGAAGGGCTGGAACTTCCCACGTCATTCAGCAACGAGCGCAAGAGGAACGAAGAGGGCTTGAAACAATTGGTGCATCTTGCAGAGGGCTACGAACGACGGGTACGGGAAGAAAATGAGCTGACGCCCGAGCAGTTGAAGACGAGATACGTGGGCAAGGTGGATCCGAAAAAACACATCGAGGATGTCGGCCAGAGGTTGATCGAGGACAACATCGTGGCTGTTAGTCGGCAGATGATCGACAAGGAGGCAAGCGTGGCTAAGAGGCCGGTGCATGCGAACGGCAATGGAACCCACGCGCATGGCGAAAACGAGGACATGGAAGTTGACGAGGAGCTGTAATACTGCACTCGGAACAGCTAACGGCGGTATTTGCACCGGGAATTGTAGGCGGGGAAGGGCACGGTACGGCATCGGTGGGCGCAGGCTTGTAATTCTATCCTCGGAATGAGAACCACCATGTACGGCTTTGGCTTCATTAGAAGGAAAAGCTGTCTACCTAGCACAGTCACTTCGAAATACTGACCTGCCATGACGGCGATTGTACGCGTAGGAGAGGCCTTGAATGACAAAAGCTGCCGCTGATCGTGTGTGCAGATTAAAATTGATACTACTGGAAGAACGTCCGCTTCACTCCCGCTGGGGTGGCAAGTGCCTTTGTCGGGGCTATTGTACATGTTTTGCCCTTTGATTCTGCTTCCTTGAGCAGCCGGGTCACCAATGGGCCGGTCGCCTCGACTCCCGGATTCCCGTCCATCTCGATGTGCGTCACTTGCGGCACGCAAAGCAGCACATCGCGAAGGAGGTCGCCGCAGAAATCCGTGTAAAAATCCAGAGACACCCGGTACTTCTCGAACATGGGCAGACTCGGGTCCAGCTCGACGAAGACCTTGAGCGTCTGCACGGCGGAAAGCTTGGACAGGCGCTTTGCCAGCAATTTGCTCACGCGCCACGACTTTGGTGGACTGGTCCAGCTTGATCCCAGCGTCACCTCCATCTTCGTCACCATGGCGCGATACATGGGTCGCAACTCTTGAATAACGGGGGCAGGCGTAAAATCCTGGAGGGGAAAGATACGGAAGCTCGTCGTACTGTAGAGCACGTAAGCCGATTCCTGGTGGGTGCGCTTGTTTGCAGCCATTATAGCGGTTCGGCATGGTCTCAGCCGACCGTCGACGAGGCGATAGCCTGGCTTGCTGAACAGTATCAGGTGGTAGATCCTATTACGGATCTCTGCAGGAAGGTCGAAGAAAGGGAACGGACCACCCTCAAGCGTCAGGGTCCCCACAGTTTTCACGAGCGACGCAGCCTCAGTCAAGGTGCTTCCGTTCTGCTTGTCCCTCCTCGAAGAATATCTCTTCCCACGATCTTGAGGTATCGGAAAGGCGTTGACGAGGCCATCCTTCCACGACGGCATCGGAGCTATTCTGTGGCAATATCGGGGCAGGCGTAGATTGTACGGCTCAGGGCAGAAGAAGGACGGATGCGCGCACAGTTCATCACTCTGAAACTGGCGCGCTCACACACTCATCGTGATGGATGGGTGGGCAAAAGGTGTACCGTCCTTACGGGGCGACTGAAAGATCATAGGCGGGCCTCTCGTGCGCTCTTGAGGAGGACGACGTTTGCGGTTTGTTCTGCCCAGCTAATACAACTCCTCGAACATATGGTGTATGTCTGTGAACGGCGAGTCAAATTTTCCTGGGTTGAATATCAACTTTCTTATGAAGAAGAGAAGAAGAGAAGAAGAGAAGAAGAGAGAAGAGAGAAGACGAAGTGAGGAGGCGATGAAATCGACTCCGCTTCCTGCCAAGCGATTCGGAGAAAGTGCAATGAACAGCATCCGAGCCCCAGTCGAGGTCGAAAGTTTGTCGCCTTAGCTAGGGTTAATTCTCTTCGACCTCACCATACCGCATCATCATCACTACTGCCCATCGAGCACGAGTGGATGGAGAGATGCTAAGACGCGCAGCCTTACCTCTTCTTAGGGGGCGCACTGGCATCCGCTCTCCAATCCTGCAAGCACAGCTGCAAACCCAGTTGCGATACTACGCCAAAGGAGATCGTCCGAGAGAAGCAGGATACCAGGTCCCTGAGAGCACGAAGCAGCCGCTGCCGCAAAAAGAACCTCTACGAAAAGTTCCCTTTGTTCAGTCCACCCCCTTTCCGAACGCCGAATCTACTTCACCACCCAGCACATCCCCGTCGTCAGATGCGTCAGGAAAGCCAGAACCGCGTCCAGATGCCACTCCATTTGGCGAGGATCCTGCACGAGACCTTGACGATGTCTCCGAGTCAGTATCCAGAGCGAGCGGCCGGTCGTTGAGGCAAGGAGAGGGTCGTCCCCGGGAAGCCGAGAAAGATGCAACCGGACAGGAGCCTACATTTACATCCGAGCCACGAGAAGCAGATCCGGCACAGCAGCCTTTGCCTGATCTGACAAAGGGCATTCCCTCCACTTTGGATGCGGAATTACGCAACGCCCAGTCGAGACAGGCGGCTGCACACGCAAGCAGCCTTAACATCACTGAAGATCCTGCTGAAGAGTTGCCGGCTGGGGCGCGCGGTCGAGACGGTGGTGACATACCAAGAGAAGAATATGTTTCATCCAGTGACCGGAGAAAGAATGCGGCGTTCAGGTACATGTACATCATACTGGGCTTGGGGATCATCGGTGGCTCCATCTACATGGGCCGCAACTGGGCCGATGAGGAAGAGGAGAAAAAGCACCAAGATGCGCCTTCGGGCTGGGGGTTCACACATTTCTACAACCGCGTCACCGCTCGCTTGGGAGACATGATGAGCTATTACCGGGATCCTGTGACCACGAAGCTACTGCCCGATGAAGACCCGGATCCAAATTTCCGGTTTCCCTTCGTCCTGGTCGTGAGCTTGGAGGACATGTTGGTGCATTCGGAGTGGACTCGCGAAAAGGGATGGCGGATAGCCAAGCGTCCAGGCGTCGATTACTTCCTGCGCTACCTCTCTGCTTACTATGAGATCGTGCTGTTCACAAGTCAGCCGTCCGCTGTGGTCGATCAGGTGATCAGGAAGCTGGACCCTTTCTCCATGATTCGATGGCCTTTGTTCCGCGAAGCCACTCTGTACAAGGACGGTGGTTACATCAAGGTGAGTGTTCATTCGTGGCGCAGACGACAGTAGCTGACCGAAGCAGGATCTCTCCTACCTGAACCGAGACCTCAAGAAAGTCATCATCATGGATACCGACCCCCACCACGTCAAGCATCAACCCGAGAATGCCATCATCCTACCCAAGTGGACCGGTGACCCCAAGGACCAAACACTGGTCCAGTTCATCCCCTTCCTCGAATACCTGGCGACAATGGGTTTTGAGGACACGCGTGAGGTGTTGAAGTCGTTCGAAGGCACATACATCCCTGCCGAGTTCGCCCGTCGGGAGAAGCTTCTACGGGCCAAGTTCGAAGCAGAACAAGCGGACAAGGGCAAAAAGCGGCCAAAGAAGACCCTCGGCGCCCTCTCATCAGTCCTGGGAATATCCAGCCGCAGTCCAGACGGACTGGACAGTGGCGAGGAGGGCAAGATGCTGTGGGATCAAATCCGAGAAAGAGGCCAGAAACAGTACATGGAGCTGGAGAAGAAAATCCAAGAGGAGGGCGCCAAATTCTTGGCCGACCGCGAGGCAGAAGAGAAGAAGTACCAGGAGGAGATGTATAAGAGCATGAAGCCCACAGGCTGGTTCACCGGTCTGCTAGGCGGCGGCCAGAAAGAGGCAGAGAAGTGAGGGTGACCTGATTCCTTGTTTCTCACTCGGAGGTTGTCTCTTTGCAGGCGTTGGCTTCTCCCTGCAGACGACCTACTAGAATTATGTACAAACAATTGTGGATATTCGAGGCGACCAGCGAGTTGCCCAGGGACAAGAGACTGGAGAGGCCGCCCTAATCAGAGCACTATCTCCCTTCATGTACAGTTTGGGATTTTTGGGTGTCGGAAATAGACATGGCACGAATCTGATCGCGGGGGTTCCTGATTTCCAGAAGCCATATCGTTTTCCCCCGGTCTCCTGAAACTCGTCCATATCCCAAAGCAGAACATGCGCCGGCCAGCGTGGCTCTGTGCGTGATGACGATGGAGATGAGGTAGCAAGTGTTTGATATCGAAGATGCGCGGACCGTTAGACCATTGTCAGACCCATTGACTGTGAGAAGACCCGAAGATCCTCTCCCTGTCAGACTGAACGACTAAGTACTGTATCTGTACTTTTCTGCAGAGTTCATGCAGGGGCACATATTGCCCGGGGATTGCATTCAAGCTCCTTAGAGTTTCTAATAAAAGATACTAGCCATGCACGCGGCTGAGGGCCTAAGCTTCTTGCGGTGGTCCTTACAAGATCTAACTGAACGTCTTTCGACGCCTGGAGGCACATTGGGGGTTCCGGTGGCTCATGTTAGGACTCCGGAGCCCGTACCATTGGCACGCTTAAGGGCTTAAAGTACAGGCTAGCACCTGGCTGCCGGAAATGTTTAGCTAGGGGATCTCGTGGGGAGATCACGTTGGCAGTACCCAGTAGGCAACGGTGGCTTCGTGAATGGGGGGCGCCCTTACGGGCTAGAGTCAAGAGTTGCAGGCGCTGTCGGCACGAGCTGCTCCCCAAGACTTTAGTTAGGGCCACTCATTCGCAGCTTTGCTGAGATTCTTTCCCGGCGCTGACCACCTTGAGCCTCTTTCAACCCAGCCAATTCGTCTCTCATCATCACCTCTAATATCGCATCGACGACGTTCCATGTCGTCGCCGTCCATCTCCCACGATAGTCACAGAACAAGTTCCACGCCCTAGCAGTCCTTGTGTCAATCGGTGCATCAACTCGAGAGCAGCACGTGGCGTTTCGCGACAGAAAAGAAGGGATCGTTTCCTTCTTCCCGTCGCGAACAAACGCGTCCATGGAGGCATGGAAGATTGAAACGATCACCATCATGTCGGATCTTTCGAACCTGTACTAGTGGCGCTCTCATCAACACCGCGTTGAGGCTCCTGCCGCAATGTCGCCCCGAATGATCGTGCACCCGCCATTGCAACCCGGTGGTTCGACAATCTCACACGAAGATGATATTCCGCCTCAGCCGCTAGACCAACACGAACCTCAGTATCAGAACGGCCTGGCTCTGGCCTTATCACATGACCGGTCCGACCTTGATAGTCCTATTCAGCCTCCCGATACGATCCAGCCCGATTCCCACAGAAAGCCTGCAGTCGCTTTTCATCAGTTACCGATCGAGGTGCTGGAAAGGTGTGTCTGCAGCATTCGCTTATGGCTTGGCCGTTCTTGGTCCGAGGCTGGCTCGCTAACATTGAGCCAGGATACTATGGATGGTCGACGCCAATGTCTTCGGATCTTTGGCCATATTGAATCGCAATTGGTACAAAGCGGCTCAGAACCGAGAACTCTACGCCCACCATCTGTCTCGGTGTCCGTCATATGCCTTGTCCAATACGATCATCACCGGTCCATTTCGCAAATTTGACCTGTACCGCCTGAAGACCAGATTCGCTGCAGAGGTTCGTCGCAACCTGTTTGAGGCTTACCTGCGGCCACGCCAGACCCTGGTCAACTTGATTTCCGTGAATGCGAGCTCTTCGGCCGCCTTACCGGGAGCGGAGGCGTTTCGATTTTCGTTCTCTCCCAATGGCCAGACGATCCTCGCCCTCAGCTCGTCGAGGATATATGTTATCGATCCAGTGACCGAGCCTATCACTGTGCGCCATGAACTCAAGACAATGAGACGGCCGTTGGCTGCGTCAGTCACCGATGACGGTACAATCTTGGCTGTCTTGTCATCGAAGCATCAAGCCAATGTATACCATTTGACATCAGAAGGTGTCAAGCACGTGCAGGTCTTGGTCATGGATAATCCCCCGAGGACGATTGCGTTGGCTCCGGAGGGCACCGTGCTGGCTGCTGCATATGAAGGTGGAGTGGAGGTCTTCTCGCTGGCTCCCAACGCCTTGTCGACCGACCGCCGAGCGGTTCGAAGTGAAGGAGTTGACACCCTGAGCTTCTCTGGCGACGGGTCGATGCTCGTCGGCAGTACCCAGAGTCTGGAAGAACCGTCAGCTGTGGTCATCACTGCTCCATTTTACACCGAGAACGACCTGCCCCCAAAAGAGGTCCACAGTCGGATGTGGACGACCCAGATTCTCTTTCCTCAGATCAGCAGTATCTGCAGCCATGCTGAACTATTGCAAGGGCACACGGAAGGCGATGCAAACTGGATCTTTGCTTACGATCACACGCTCATGTCGTACAGAGCAGTGCGGACCGATGACACAAGAACAGGCGTGGCCTACTTTCTGAACCCCACAACGAACCGCCGTTTCAGTTTGCCAGCCCCATCGACTGCTCCAACCGCGACAGGTTGTGGGACACTCGTCGTCGCTGGGTTTAGTGGGAGCGGCCTCTGGATCTATGGAGTCCCGGAAAAGCTTGACGTTGCTCCGGACATGGGCTCTGTCGTCGAACGACATGAACACCGTCTACAAGGCAGAGACCTCCCGCTTACCTCTGCAACAGGTCATGTGGAGCCTCTGATGGCATATTCGCCCTCGGTATCTGGAACCAGTGATGAATTTGAGGACGACTCGCTTGCTGCGAAGGTTGAGTGGCGTGAGAGCTTGTTCGTCAAATGCCAACACATTAGGAGTCTGGATGGTGCTACTGCAGCAAAATGGGTCGAAAGATGCGAAGATAGACCATGTGGTTTCGGTGGCAAGAGATTGGTCGTTGTCGCGCCTGGTGGCGTGGACCAGTTTGCAGAAGAACTCGGAGATGAGACCATGCCCGTCGATGGGTCCCGCCTCGCGATCTTGGACTTCGACTACTCGCCATCAACGGGCCCTGACCGTGAATTGACCATCGAAGTCGGCGAGAAAGAACCGAAGCTCCTTACTGAACAGATTGGTGACATGGAGATTGAAGTTGCAATGGAAAGACGGCGAACCGTGAGAGAACGGGCAAGAGGAGGGATGAGGGCACCCCTGGGTCGTTCAGCCACTTTGGCCTCTGCGAATCAAGGATCGAGGCTCCGGAGCGTCTCCCAGACGTCTTCGCCGTTGGATGTCGACGCACAAATGGCTTTGGCGAATGCTGCACCGCGTGCACCTCAGCACGCTCATCAACCGTCACCGAATCTGCACCGCTCTGCCACAGCCGCTGGGTTCTCCACTGCTCGATTTCCTCCTCGACCACCTCTCGCGCAGCAGCAGGTTGGATCCCAACCTCAGCAATTGGACGGCTGGGAGACACCTCCTCCACCCTATACCTCTCCGCCTCTCCGTGGCCAGACCCCGGTGCAGTTGGGCTCGCCACTTATTCAAGCTCGTCCGATGGGAGCTATGCCTATGCAAATGGTGGGAATCCCCGAAAACGGGCACCTCCCGCAAGTACACCCAGGAATTGGCCACGGCCTTCCCATGCACCACCAAGCACAATTCGCACCTGTCCCGATGCACATCACCCCTCAACCAGTTCCTGTAATGCCACAAAACGCTCTTCATCCCGGCCGCACTGGGGCTCCGTATCAGGCCCCAGTGCCCACATCGAGACCCGACCTAGCATTTGCTCCAGCAGCTGAGCCATTCAAGCTTCCGGGCCCGATCTCTCAGGCGGCTCCAGCAAGCACATCCTTTGCTCCGACAGCTTCAGAAGGCCCATCGAGGCCGGTGTCTCATGAAGGCCGGATATCGCCATACCAACAGACACCTGTGTCCCAACGACTTCAGAACCCTGATCGTCCATCTCCCCCTATTCTTTCACAACCGTCCCACAATCCGCTCAACGCAGCTCAAACACAGAATCTCTCTTCTTCGGGCTCAGTCACATTGACAGGGTCAAATCTACAAGCTCGTCTGCAGCAGCCCGTCCCGCCAACCCCGACATCATTCCAGCACATGTCTCATGTATACGACGATATAAGCCCAACTGTCGCGCAGCAATCTGCCGCTCTGCCCGGCGCCCAGGCAGGCCCTTTCAGTGTGGCGCCTCCGACAGCCGACCAGATGGCCAACCTGAACCGTCGAATTTCCACCACGACACGAAAACCCGTTGCGCCCATCACGACCAATGGTGCTTCTTACTCAAACTCGGCGAGGCTTGATCTCATTGGTGGTTCGGGTGTGCCGCCGTCGCCACCTCCAGGGGCGTGGGGCGCCGCCGGCGTGCCCGGGTCCCCCTCGTTCAATAAGGCCATCAATGCTCCCAACGGCTTAACGAGGGATAACTCGAGAGGAAGTGGTCGGTCGATACCTGTTTCTGCCTCTACGCCCAACTTGCATGCTGCTCCGTCAGCCCGTGCTCAGCGACCGGGAATGGGCAGACTAGACACCATCGACAGTATATCCAGCTCATACGGGCCCGGTGAACCAGGTCAAAGATCACACAGTGCTACGCAGCCACTCCCACCGCTGCCTCCGCCGCAGTCGCCACATTATCCATACCCTCAACATCTCCCACAGCAACAATACCAGCAAACGCAGAGTTATCAGGCAAGGACCTGGACGGGCGACAGCGACGATGTCAGCCCGATCCAGGACAGCGGGCGACGAGTTCTGTCCGATCCGACGCTGCTGGCCTCGAACAAGAAGAAAAGCAAGCGGAAGAAGGGCGAAGAAGTGCCGCGGAGCCAGACGCCCATGCCGATCAGTTCGGGGGGAGTGAAAGAAGCAAAGAAAAAAGGAAGTAGATGTGTGGTCATGTAAATGCAAAATGGATTTTTCTTTCCAAGCAACGAGACGAACAGTGTGAGAAGTGATGGTGATGGCCCGGTGAAAGTTGAGCTTCTTGAAAGACCACTGTGGACCTTGTCGCCTTCGCCCTTCTGTTACTCTGCTGGGAAACACAGTGTGGGAAACAAGATGTTTGCGGTGCAAGACGGCTGAATTTCAGATGCGTTAAGCGAAGATTTGGGGTGGTCAGATTCTTCCCTCCCCCACAAACGTGTTTTCTACTGTAGATCGCGATTTTTGGTAGGCATCTATGTTGGGACCATGCATTGCACAGCGGGATGGTAAAGCTTGGTTGAGGACCCGTTGCACAACAACAGCAGGCAAAATTGCACCACGCGCCCTACTTGTTCTTGAAATCACGTTTGTCGATACATTATCGCCCCGGTATCCTCTCTGGAACCCTTTTCCAGAAGGGAAGGCTTTCGGGGTGGTTGCGCACAGTAGCAGTGCGTGGCTCACCATTTCAACGCCTGTTCCCACTTCTGGACAAAAGCCTCGACGGCGTTCACGAACAGCGCGACGTGTTCGTCCGTGAGCATGATGTTCAGGGCCACAAAGCCGCGCTGCGCCATGTAGATGCCCTGCTCGAGCATGTGGTGATAGAACAGTCCTCCCAAGACCTCGCGGTCCGGTCCCGCGAAATGGACGGCCATCAGACTGCCCACGCCCTTGACGAACATCTTCGGCGGCCGCTGCGGGTGCTGTGCCGCGTGCATTTCGTCCGCCACGGGCGCGGCTGGCACGGTCGCGTCACGCAGGATGTCTCGGTTGGAAAGGACGTCGACGACTTGGCTGGTCAACTTCTCGCCGAGCCCGTTCAGGGCGTCCAGCTTCTCGGTCGTCAAGAGCCCACAGCCGGCTATTCCCGCCTTCATGGTGAAGACGTTATTGTTGAATGTGCCCGGATGCTCGAGCTTGCCGTTCCTGGGATCGTACAGCGCCATGATGTCCCGGCGTCCTCCGAACGCGCCGAAACTCATCCCCCCGCCAACCCACTTCCCGAGCGTCGTCAGGTCGGGCGTCACGCCGGTCTGCGACCCGAGCCCGTTGTAATGCAGTCGCGAGGTCATAACTTCGTCGAAGATGAGTAGCGCGCCGTGCTCGCTGGCCAGGCGACGTAGTGTGCCCAGGAACTCGGCAGAGCCGCGGTAACAGCCCCCAGACCCGAGCATGGGCTCGACCAGGATCGCGGCGAGCGAGTCTTTGGGCAGGGACTGGACCAGGGCTTCCGTGCCGGCGACGTCATTGTATGTGCCCACAACGAAATCATGGGGCAGGTTGATGGACGGTTTCCCCGAGGGCGCCCGTCCTGAGATGGTCGAGCCGTGGTACCCCTTGTTGAAGACCAGGACTTTCTTCCTGCCTGTGAATGCCAGGGCTGTGGCAAGAGCCACCATGTTCGCCTCGGTGCCCGAGTTGACGAACCTGACTAGGTCGATCGAGGGGAATCGCTCGCACACAATTTCCGCGAGCTGGGGTTCCAGCTCGTTGTGCCCGCCGTAGTTCCATCCGTTTCGGATAGCCGATTCCAGGGCGGACTTGATCGCCGAGTGATTGTGGCCATAGATCGCAGCAGTGTACTCCCCAAGGAAATCAGTGTAAGTCTGCTCGTCGACGGTGGTGAGGTGGGTGTCCTGACCGGAGGAGATCGTAAGTGGAAATGGCGTGGTGTGCAGAACGGTGCGAGTGTTGCCCCCAGGGAGGTAGTTGCATGCTTGATCGTGGATTTTGAGCGATTGAGGGTGCGAGTTTGTGTACCGCGCGTGTGCTTGCTCGAGGGCCGCGCTGAGGGCAGTAGAGACGGTCTCTGAAACGGAACCCATGGCAGATATCCTTTGTGCGAACAGTGCAACGGAACTGGAAACAAGTTACCTCTTCTATGAAGACATTCGAAACGGAATATAAACAAGAAGAATAATACTCGTCGGTTAAGCTGAAAGTGGTGGCTCAGTTGCGCATCACAAATTGTCGAGCGCCCTTTGACCGTTGATAGCGGCGTTGAGAGGTCGCCGTCCCTCGCGGATCCCCGCATGCTGATGGGCGATTCCTTGGTATCCAAGTGATGGGCTCAGCGTGAGAGTCTCTTTCATTGGGCAGCACAACGGAAATATCGTGATCGCCGTTGGAACTCAAGAGTGTACGAGTAAGCTTCCAACCTGAGTTAGAAGAATGCGGCGTTTGCGGCCTCTGGTATCAGCAGGGTGTCACATTGATATGAATTGCATTGAGGGACAAAGGAACAGGAAAAGTCCTGAGAGCTTCCTTTCAGCAATGCGTGCGTCTGCAACATCTCAGTCATTCAGCTGGAGGCGAACCCTAGTCAAAGCGTCTGGGAAGGTCACCCGAAGGATAGGTGAGGGTGAGATGAGAGTGAAGGTGAAGGTGAATGTGAGATGAGTGTGATGTGTAAGTGACAGAGGGACAGTGACAGCCAAACATTTGACTGCAGCTTCACTAAACTCTCCATCAACTGGAGGTATAACACAAGAATTGCTGGTATCCTGTAGTTTTCATTAGATCAACTTCATCTGACGACTTCTCTGACATAGGATTCATCACTGGCGACTGCCCAGCTCAAGCTTCACTCAAGCTTCATTAGCTTCTCGTTTACAATAAGCCTCTCGTCCACCAGGAACCGACCCCGGCCGCTTGTACCACAGGAACCAAGCAGACCATTCCTCCCGAACCATGGGTTCTTCAGGAAGACGGCTCTCGGTTCTGAGGGAGTCGCTGCACACTTCCTCAGACGGCCGTCGTTTCTCAGTCCATCCTGAGGACGAAGGTGAGGGCGTCTCGGCTTCACACCGGCGGCTTCGCGAGCATCCCGCCCACAAATCTCATGCTGCGCTCGACACCACCAAAGCAAGTACCGTAAGTATACTTCGGTGCTCATTCCAGTGCGACTCTGTCCGACGCTATGTCTTCTCCTGTGAAGACCTCATCGCTCATTCCGTATGTCAGGGTGTGGTATGGACCACAGAACAAGCTCAAAAGCACGGGTTCTACGACGAGCCTGAGAAATGTGAGTCAACAAGGCATACCATCGTGGCAATTTGAGTACTGCCTCGACCCTAACAACGCATAAGGGGCGAATCTGGGTCAAGGGGCCCCAGAAGTCGGTGACATTGACGGTGTATGTTGCAACAAACCAATCTCCAGCTTTAGCCTAGCTGACCATCCCTCAGTGTTTCCCCCGGCCCAAATCCATCCCCTTGAGCGAGAACTCAGGAGAATATGGCCCAACAGCCGGCATCAGGTCTCTACGGGCCGCAGTGGCGAAGTTGTATAACCACGACTACCGCCAGGGAAAGGAGAGTCAGTACACATGGGAGAATGTTTGTATTGTGCCGGGTGGTAGAGCTGGTTTGATCAGAATTGCGGCCGTTGTGGGCAATGCGTATCTCGCCTACTTTACCCCCGATTATTCAGTATATGAACAGGCGAGTATTTCTGTCCTGCTCGTATGCACACGCTAATGAATTCAAGATGTTGGGCTTGTTCCGGAATTTCGTTGCCATCCCTACTCCGCTGTCCGCTGCTGATGGATACCATATCCATGCCGATAAGATTGCAGACGAACTCGCAAGAGGAACATCGGTAATGTAGGATTTCCAGCAGCCTCACCAGGGCCTCTCCTACGTCGCTCCCGTTGACACACTACCAGCTTGACCTCAAACCCTCGCAACCCCACCGGCCACGCCCTGCATTCCGAAGAGCTCTCCTTGATCCAAGATATCTGCCGTGACAGGGCGACCTTGATCTTCGACGAGTTCTATTCCGGCTACCGCTACGACAAAGATTGCGATGGAAGCACTATTTCAGCGGCGTCCAACGTGATTGACGTCGACCGCGATGATGTGCTCCTGATCGATGGCCTGACCAAGCGCTTCAGGCTCCCAGGCTGGAGAGTCGCGTGGATTGTGGGACCCAAGGATTTCATCAAGGCCCTTAGCTCATGCGGAAGCTATCTCGACGGCGGCTGCAATGTGCCCTTCCAGGAGGCCACGGTATCGATGCTCGAGCCGGCACTGGTTCGAAGAGAAATGGCGGCATTACAACGCCACTTCAAAGCGGTACGGGGGGCATATTCCCTTCGTTGTAATGCTGACTGATACTGTATGGTGCACTGACCGTCTGAAACGCTTAGAAACGCGACTACGTCCTCAAGAGACTCAGCGAGATCGGGTTCAGACTAGGCGACCAGGAGATCCCCGAGTCTACGTTCTACATCTGGCTGAGTTTGGAAAAGTTGGATCCTCCGTTGCCGAAGAACTCGCCAGTCGACATCAGCAACGGGTTGGCTTTCTTCGATGCTTTGCTCCAAGAGAAGACAATCGTCGTGCCAGGCATCTTCTTCGACCTCAATCCAGCAAAGCGGCGCGACCTGTTCGACAGTCCCTGTCACTACTTTGTCCGGATCAGCTACGGCCCGAGGATGGAGCAATTGAAGATGGGTCTCGATGGTATCGAGAGGGTGGTCAAGCGTGCTAGAGGCGAATCTGGACAACTCGAGTGCGATTCACGATGAAGCGGACCAGAAGAGCCCCAGAAGACCTGTTCGGTTTTCGAAATGGCAGGCAAGCCAGCGGCATGAGCGGCCAAGGGGAACGCCGCGAACAAGGACGACGTTCGATACGACAATAAGAAACTTTAACAGCAAATTGCAGACGACACTGGGGCTTCTAGCGATGATACATTTAGAGTTACAAGCTCTGGACCCATCCGACCGCTGATGGCCTCTTTAACGCCTCGTCGAAGATTCGCACTAGATAGGGATTTGCCATAACTTCCATGATGACGGCCAACACTATGAGACACGAACATGCTGTTCTGCAGCTCCACGCCATTATCGTCCCATCCTCTCGTGCGCGTCATAACGGAGCTTTAGGAAGGTTCGGTAGCTCTGGTAATTTGGGCGTCGGCAGCTTCACCTTCGGTACCCCGACTTTCGGTACCTTGACTTTCGGGAGTTTGACTTTAGGCAGCTTCACCTTTGGCAGGGATAAATCAAGCCCTGAGGATCAGTTCCTTGGTTAGCTTTTAGGACGTCTTCCTTACATATTGGAGAGGCCGTAGCTTACAGGAGTGCCAATGTGAGGTCACCATGGATGCTCGCCTTGAGCTCGATCTCAATGTCCAGGTTCAACTCTATGCGCAATTTGAGGCCGTCCTGATCCATCGGGTCTTTGCCGCTGCTGTCCTTGGAGTCGATGGGTTGCGCCGTCTCGAGCGGTTGCGTGGGAGGCGCCCCACGCCAGGGGATCTCTCCTCGAAGCATGCGGGCGTACGTGACGGGACCGTCCATAGACTGCGACGGTGGCTTTATACGCTCAAACGGTTGCGCTTCGGTAATGTCTCGCGGGTCGGGGTTCTTGAGCCATTGCGGCTGGTTTCTCTGTTCCGGACTTCTCTTCGCTACCTGCGTGCCGGGGTGGTCTTGGGTCTCCTCAGCCTGCTCGTTGATCGACGCCATCGACTGCGCAGAGGCATTTCCCGCCTGGCTCTTCGCCTGAGCTTGCCTCTGTCGTTGGTTCTGTCGTCTACGCCGTCTTGATTGTGATCTGGATCGAGACTCATACCCCTGGTCGTCTGCATCCGTCGTCGATACCTCTGAGTTGCTGCGGTCCAGCCCGGGCCGAGGAGTTTTCTCCGGAGTAGGCTGTTGCTGTGGCTCGGACATGGTGGCCACAGAGTGATGGGGAGGTTAGAGGCAAGAAATGGTAGGGAAATGGGCAGCTAGCAATTTAGCAAGTCGATGCTGAGGGTGCAAAAAGGAAACATAAGTTAAGGTCGAGAAACTCGCATGTGAGCAAGACCTCAGCCAGGGAGAGGGGACTGGGAAAAAGCAGTCAATGTAGCAACGACATCATCGTGACAAGGGTCTACTTTCCCCAGACCTGTTTGCAGTTTAACCTGCATCGACGACGGCGTATGCCGCTTCAAGCAGCAAGATCATCAAACCGTGATCAGAAATTGGCGGATCAACGGCTTTCACGGCGATGGCGCCATGGACCAAGATTTTGGACACTTCGAAACGTGGATGACCTTCGGAAGTTGGAAGTATCCCTGTTCGGTGTGGCACCACGCGTCAAAGGCTCGTCCTGATTCGACCAAGCAGTAGGCTCACGCCCCCACTTGCCTCAGCCCAATCGTGGCGCCAGATCCACTACTGCGGGGTGTGGCGTATGATGACGTCGTAACAAGGCTGGAAAGCCTCGAGACTCTGCGACACGCGCCCTTGACTTTCTCAGTTAGCAAAGATAAAACTGGTTATAACGAAGTCAATCCTAGACTAGAGTGCTGTAGCTATACAAGGTAGTCCCGAGTCTGCTTGAACTGGCAAAATTCTCAAGTTGATGCGATCTCCAGTGGTTGAGGCCGCCCTTCAACCGCTTGCCGACCGGCGTCGATCTCCAACCAAGGTCAGACGAAGCATCGACGATCGAGTAACGGTCGGTTCTGCTTCTGGCTTTCTACTCTTCCCAGTTCGGCATACTAGTGCGCGGAGCCCTGTAATCCGACCCATGTCCCCAGCCACAGCCCGGATATGGTCACCCTCAACCCGCCATGATTGGTCTTCTAGCCCGCTAAAACCTGTTCTCTCCGCCCGGATCTCCAGCCTCGACGGAAATCTTTTGGACAAGCTGTGGCGTCAAGCACATGGCTCGCGAAAAGCAGCAACAACCGACGTCATCAGCATGCGCGTTCGAAGACAATCGGTGCTGGTCTTGCCCCGAGTTGTCCACCTTCTGACGTCTCAGTGGGGTTCAAGTACAATTCTGGCTCTTTGCCTACTTTTCTTGCAGAACTCCGGGACGATAGACCTGGTCGTCTTACGTCGACACCCTCTTTTGTCTGTGGCCTCCCCTTCTTCATCCTCTCTGGGACATCTCTTTCTAATCTCTCAACATGTCGGAGCAAGAAACCAAGAATACAGAAGAATCTCAAATCGGCGGAAACCTCGACGCCGCTGGATCTGCCTCAGGTGCTGCTAGCGTAGGAGCCAACGCCTCTTCCAAGAAGTCGGAGGAGAAACGAAAGCCCAAAAAGCTCGGCCAGAAAGGACAAGCGAACGGCGACAAGGGCGACGCCGACGCAGAAGTAGACGGCGGTACAGACGAACCTTCAACACCAACGCCACAACCGAAGATGGAGCAACAGGCTCAATCTCGCTCCAAATCACGACAAAGTCGAGGCCGCGGCTCCAGTGCACCACCTAGCGATGTCGACAGTGCGTACCGAAGCGACGTCTCGCAGAAAGGTGGACGACGGAACCGCAACCGCAACCGTGGCAAGGCTCAAGCACAATCACAAGCTCAGACGCAGCAACAAGGCAAGGGCGGCGGTCTCCTGGGCGGCGGCGGCGGTCCTCTCGATGCCGTTGACGAAGTCGGTGATACCGTGAATGGGGTGGTTGACGGCGCCGGAGACCTTGTGAACAACACTGTCGGCAATGCCGTGAGCAAGCCGCACGAGGCACTCGGCGGTCTGCTCAAGTCGGGTGGCAAGGAGGGAGGCAAGGACGACGAAGACCCGGGTGAGAACGAGCAGCTGAGGTTACGACTTGATTTGAATTTGGACATCGAGGTGCAGCTCAAGGCCAAGATCCATGGTGATCTTACACTTGGTCTATTGTCAGTACCCCGACATTGCTTCTGCGCGAATGCTAACGTCTTACAGGAACTAGTGCTTGATCACAACCGAGAAGCGTCCTCTGCATATCCCCCTATTCCCGGCCATTTTTGTGAGTCGTACCAGTGTAGCCAAAGACCTGGAGAGGGCTCCGAGCAGAGGTGGCAGTACTCAAGCGCAGCCACGGGTCATATTTCAATCAGAATGGGCCAGGTGCTTCTTGGGATGAATTACGGCGTACCAGTTTTGCATTTACTCCGAATTGCGAGACAGGTCCATGTATGTAATAAAACAATGACGATGATGAGAGTTAGGAGTAGAACTGTTGCTTCCGATTTTCGACTTTGAATGGAGTACTGTAATTGTCTATCGCCGACTGCCAAGCCTGACCGGATTCTCTTTTTGAATTGATGCTCATCCTGTGATCAACTACACCATTCAACCGATAGTGCGAACACGTTCGGATGCCATGTCGCCTTGGTCTTAAAGGCTTTGGACATACCAAATTGCTTCTGCGCCCGTTTGCTTGCCATCATTTGCGAGCATGCGGCTTCACAGTTGTCCGCAGTCGCGGCGAACGGATTCCCCTGCGGCTTCAATCCACTTCGGCGCTGCATCATGACCTTGACAGATGGCGCACCTCAGCGGCCAGTCATCCTATATCCGACACGATATATGCGCTGTCTACTGCGCCAGGTCGAGCTGCGATAGCAGTCATACGTATATCTGGACCCGCATGTCTTGATATCTACCAGTTGCTTTGTCCCCGGCGGCCACCGCCCAAACCTCGAACCGCAACCTTGCGAAAACTCTACGATCCTGGCGATTCTGAGCAGGTCGAGCCTCGAGTCCTCGATACGAGCGCGCTCCTCCTGTACTTCCCCGCGCCGAATACAGTGACCGGAGAGGACGTGCTCGAGCTGCATGTCCACGGCGGTCCAGCCATTGTCCGGTCGATCCTGAATGTCATCTCCAAACACGGACGATCGTCACACGGTCGAGGCGGCGCCATCAGACATGCCGAACCCGGCGAATTCACGAAATGGGCATTTTACAATGGCAGGCTAGACCTCACACAAGCCGAAGCACTGGGTGAAACTCTCGCGGCCGAGACGGAGCAGCAGCGCCGGCTGGCTGTCAGCGGCACCGACGGCGGACTTGCAAAGAGATACGAGGAGTGGCGGACGCTGCTTCTCTACGCGCGAGGCGAACTAGAGGCCCTGATTGACTTTTCTGAAGATCAGCACTTTGACGAGTCACCTGCGGAGTTCATGGCCTCGATCTCACAACAAGTGTTCGCGTTGAAGAGACAGATTGAGTTACACCTTCAGAACGCGTCAAGGGGGGAGCTGCTGCGCAACGGTATCAGCATTGCGTTGCTGGGTGCGCCAAATGCTGGCAAAAGCTCGCTACTCAACCGCATTGTGGGCCGCGAAGCTGCCATTGTCAGTGCCGAAGAGGGCACAACTCGTGACATTGTCGATGTCTCGGTGGATCTTAACGGCTGGCTATGCCGGCTGGGCGATATGGCCGGACTCCGCTCAAAGCAGCAGAGTGAAGTTGGCTTGATCGAGCGAGAAGGCATTCGCCGGGCAAGAGAACGTGCCCTCCAGTCCGACGTTGTTGTGGTGCTGCTATCCATCGAACTGGACCCCGACAGGAAGCCCAGAGTATCTATCAATGGAGAAGTCCTCGAGGCGGTGCAGGAATGCCACGCCTCGGGGAAGACTATTCTGGTTGTTCTAAATAAGATCGACCTTGTCGTGGACCAACTTGGTGCAAACAAAGAGGCAGCCAGAGACCTGCATACACGAGTCGGTCAGATGTTTCCTTTTGTACCTGCATGGCGTATATGCACGATATCTTGCAAACGCACATCAGATGATCCTGCCGACTCCGACGCCGACCCGGGCGGCATCCAAGCCTTCCTCACCGTCCTGACCGACGCCTTCACGGAATTGACGACAGCATCGACTGGGGAAGTACACGACGCAAGACTGACCGCAGCGGAAGCGCAGTCGTACTGGACGGCATCCCTCTCAGTTACGCACCGCCAGAGCATGTACCTGTCAGAAGGCTTACGTCATCTGGACGACTTCCTCTCAGTTGCCTGTTACCCACAACACCAACTGTCGCAGGCGCAGTCTTACCTGCATACGGAATCGGACGGCACGATGGAATTCTCCCATTCGTCAAACCACGATGAGTACCACGGTGGTCGCCACAATGGCCTCGACGCGCCAAATATAGTATCCGACCCAGATGCACATGCACATGCACATGCAGATAGTGTCGTTGATATTGTCACTGCCGCGGAACATCTCCGGTTTGCGGCGGATTGCCTTGCCAAGATCACGGGGAAGGGTGAATCTGGCGACGTGGAGGACATTTTGGGTGTGGTCTTCGAGAAGTGAGTAAGCAGTCTCTTCCACGTTCTCGCCTGCTCCACCCCGGTCTGGTCCCTTCGCAATTTTCACCGCATAGGGGAATATCTGTGCGACAATATCTTGGAAACTTGAGAAATTGCAGTTCTGTGGCTGCACCTTGATTCTGGGGTATCTGGTTTGGATGGTTCTGTTGATCCGCGCTGAGCTGTCTTCGCCCGCTGCCACTTCCCTGTCCCGACCCATATCCCACAAATCCCCGAATATGTTCAACGAATGAATTGAAAACATGGCTGTCCGAATGGCCCCCATCGCAATGCCTCCTCCTTCACTCCCAAATTATCCCACGTGCCGCATGCCACTGCCCAAAAAATGCTCGATATGTGTTGCGTTCCTGCGCGACACGGTCGAATCCTTGTTGGTTCCGGAGCAGTGTTGAACCCTGTCTTCCACTTTAAGAAACCAAACGCCAGGGAAATGCCGCTAAAAATGGATGACGAGTATGTGCTGATTACTTTTTGCTGTACAGGTTTTGTGTTGGAAAGTAAAGCCGCTGAAGAGAAGACAGACGGCTCATCGAGAGCCGAAGGATGGAAAAAAGAGTGGATCGTGATCGAGACCTGCGTCACCAGGGAAATGAGAACGTTGAAAGATGTGGAACACAGTTCCATGGGCTGCGCAACGTCGTGAAGGGGGTTTCGGATGAATTAGTTGTAGCCGCCACGGCCTTGCGCTGCTTGCTGTCGATTGTACCCGCCGCGACCTTGAACGGGCACGGGAGTCTTGTTGTACCCGCCACGGCCCTGTCGGTTGTACCCTCCGCGACCCTTCTGGGGGGCAGCTGGGGTGTTGTATCCGCCTCGTCCGATGGCCATTGTAAGTGCGATTGTGGTTGGGATGAAAATTACAAGCAAATGAATATTGACGTGTGCTTTGTGGTCTGGGCTTTGGGTGTTGGGCTCTGCGAAAGTGTCGCGTTGAACAGACAAAGGAAATAAGGAAACAGATAATAGGAAATAGGGCTTGCTGTCGAGAAAGTAGAATGGCTTTGGGGCTGTCGGTCGTGTCTCAAGAAGCCTTGTTGCAGGAGATGATAGGAAATAGCAGAAATAAGGAAAGTATGTCTATACCTCAAGTCTGATTTGTTGCGGGATGCTGAACTGGGAACAATGGCAGTGCACGAACTTGGGAAAAAGATGTTGAAAAAGTAATGGAATGTTTGCTGTCAAGGAGTGTGATGTGGTGTGCTGGTGGATGGGAACATTTCAAAATCTTTCCGTGAGGCATCAACCGCGATATATATCTTTCGAGACGGGCATGGTGGCAGTCACTCGGAAGTCGTCTCTGGGTCATACCTCGTACGCGAACTCGACTGCGCACGAGAACCCGGATCCACACCGACCCGAAGCACTGGTGTGATTAGGCCCAGAATGGAAGGGTGATTCGATCGGTGAAGAGAGGTCCCTTCAGTCTTGATCCGGGTCCCTGACGGCGATAGAGTGTAAATTTGGGGGCTGACGAGGCCACACGCGGGCGTGGCATGCTGGGTACAGGCGACCAAAGGGCCCTGATCCCGGCCAGTTTCGTAGGGCTGACGGGGCTCACGCAGAAACGGAGAAAATGGACTTTTGAAAAGAGTGACATGTGGAGCCTCAGGCAGCCATGCCAAACCCTTGCCAACCCTGCCAGGACCCCTGCTCGGTTGATGGCCTTAGGGTGAGCCTGGCGTGCATTGCCTCGCAAAGTTCGATGCGTGATTCTCCCAATCCCTGCGCTGACACGAGGTCCGCAGCAAGGGTATAGAGCCATTCACATGGCAGAGATACTCCGAAGGCGTTATGTTGCACTTGTCAGTGGGCAGTGACTGTTTTCCAAGAAAGTCCGTCGACGTGTCTTGGGGGTGTGCTAAATTCGACGATTGTCTCGAGCGGAAAGAGGCGCTTGGGTTAGGGCTGCAGTGACGTGCATTAGCCCGCACACGCCAGCGATGTCATAGGTGCGCATTGAGAAAATACGCGGCTAGTGCTCACAGCGTTCACGAATCGTACGGTAGGCGGACCAACGCTGGCGAATCACAGACAGCCAGTGCTCGGATAGGGTTTGCAACGTCCCGCCTAGCTGGATCTTCTAAAGAACCCTTAGTAGCGTCGGCACCAATGACAGATCCCACACCAGATCCGCTCGCCCAAGGCGCAGTTCAACAGGCAAGAGGGAAATTCTCCTTCTGACCAGGGAAAGTGTCTCCAAACCGCCTCGTCCCAATCAATCAACTCGCCTCTTCTTTCGTTTAGGCAGTACTTCGTTACATTCGCAGGAAACAAAATATCTTTGAAACGTGGCTCGGGCATTCGCACAACCAGGCCGCTAGCGGAAGCTTCCGCGTCGAAGGCCACAATCTGAGGATACCACGCAAAGATCATCGGCTGGCGCTCATGGTAGAGGTCTGAACTGCAAGGCTACTGAACGATCGATTCACGGTTCTTGGCCTCCGATTCGACTCGCGGACCCTGCGATGTCGACATCGCAAGAACCCTGCACTGTGCTGTGTTGTGTTGTATCGTGCCGTGCTTTGCTGTCTAAGAAAAGGCCCTTCTGACCCGCACATGTGGATTACTATGCAATTCCACTCATAAAATACCTCGAATGACGAAAGTGATAGCCTGATACTCCGCACTCAAAGGCGACGGGCGAGCTCTGGTGGAGACAGGCGTCACAGTCCTGTGTCATAATCCGTCCTGGATCGCATGGCTGCTCAGGCGACGTCGCAACAGGCGTGGATGAGGGTTCGCGTAGCAGTCATACTGTAGGAGAGCCCAGAGACCGTTGGCTCACCGAACATTCCTCCAGCTGAAAGTTCCTGCGGCGGCGCAGTCTCTGGATGTGGATTAACCGTTTCTCCGACTGGCCTATGATGGTTTTCAGCACGCTCATCCCGAACGAGGCGCGTTTCTATCCACCGCGAGGCAGACTTTGCCATATGACCCATGGTGAGCACCGATGTCAGTGCTACGGCCCCAGACTCGCTGCTGCACGAGAGAGTGTTGAATGTCTGCATGTCGAGCGTGAACTTATGCGCCCACACAGACTCAGCACGTGGCTCTCGAAATAGAAACCGGAAAAACTGTGGACCCGGACGCGCTAACCCGTATTGGGATCAAGCTTCGATTGCGTTCCATTTCGAGTTTCACGCGCTGACTGACGGATGAGCAGGGAGAGACGTGCTTCCTACGAGGTACGGTGCATGCATCATCGGATCAATCCGAATCAACGTCTGCCTCGACGCAGTCCTCGACTTCCCGCAAAGCTTCTCTGTGATCAATCCCTACTCAGATCAGGGGTGATCCGTGGATCTTGCTTGGTGAGGCCCTCTCCGCTCGCTGGATGCTTCTGATATCGCAAGGCGCCTCAATGATTGGGAAGGTAACAACGAGCCCTTGACGATCCATATCAGGTCCCTATCCGCACTTTCTCACCCAATACATGCTGGGCTGCCGGCTTCGTTCGACCGTACGAAGCGTCCGACGGCCTGAGCTAAATAATGTCAGCGCCTCTTTGCTTCTATACAGTTCGAGGCACGGTCAACAACCTCAGAGGCCGGGCTTAGACACAGCGTCATGTCCGACCTCATCTGCGTTCTGCCGCTCTGATTGAAGCACGGTTTTGATGTCCGGTCACCTGGTCCTACGATAGGCACTCTTCAGACGGAGCATGCGTCAGAACGTCTTCCCGCTGAGATTACTCGCAATCCCATATCCAGTCAAACCCAGGATTGTGTTGTCGTCTGTGCAGTCCGGATTCTGCAACAGACACCACTCTCCATCAGCGGAAAGTCTAAAGATTGAAACTGAACTCACAGAGGCTCCCGGAACCCTGAATCCTTATCGAGGTTGTTGGTTGACAAGTAGAAGCCAGGTTGGTAAATTACCTATGCACCTTCTGGCGAGACCAAGGTACCCTTACGACAATCTACGCCTTTGTCCTCGGCTTAAGTCGTGTTTGCCACTCTCAAGTGAATGACCTGGCTGTCGCAAGGCTGGTCCTCACAAGACGTGTTCGGCTCCCCAGTTGACCACGGCCGTCAACAATCTGCAACATGAAATGGACGTCGGCTGCAACGAGTAGCGAACCCTCATTCTCTTATGTGGAAATCAACATGATGGAACTTCGACGGAACTTGTTCGTAGACGTGCTCTGCCAATCCTGACTGGATGCCCTGCATTCCAACTCATCGTCTGGAATGTGGACCGCTCTTTCGTGGACAGTATTCGACAAGCCATACAACAACATGGCTTCCTGCGTTCGGGAGTCTGCCATTTTCCAACTCCTGCATCCTACCTTCCACTGACCGCAGTCATTCCTTCGCCCTGTCAGCCTTTCGCCGTTCCTTTCGTCCAAGATGCGAGCCTGGAATGTCTTCCTTGTCGCCACAGGCGCCACAGCCCAAAGTGTCAGCTACATCTACACTGCAACCTTCATGGAGACGGCAGTGGAATTTGTCACCTTCACGACATGTCCCTGCCCAACGAGTACACCGGGCTTGTCTAGCTTTCTCACAACCACGACTCCAGCTCCAGTCACCACAACATCGTATACCGGCCCCTTACTCCCCTCCGACACCGTCGCTCCATCCTCGCCCATCTCGACATTTACCACCTCTCCTGCGGCACCACCGAGCGACTCAGTTCTTCCCTCCTCGACGACCAGCTCCTCGGGGGTCCCAGTGGTGACCAACGATGCGTACATCGCCACGGTCCTACGCCACCACAACATCCACCGCTCAAACCACTCTGCGGACCCCATGGTCTGGAACACCAACATGGCCAATATTGCGCGCGAGATTGCCGAGACCTGCGTCTACGGCCACGTTACGTAAGAGAATATATACTTAGCTGTCCTGCCAGCGCCACCATCCCCCCTGCCTCTGTCCTGCATCTCAACTGAATCCCTTCTAACTCGCCGTTGTAGCTCCGTCGGCGGTGGAGGCTACGGCCAGAACATTGGCGCCGGATACCCCGCCACTCCGCTGGGGATGGGCAACTTCATCACCGAAGGCCTCTACAACGACGAGGTCAACAACTACGTTTACTACGGCATGGAGCCCAACGTCACCACGCTCAACCAGTGGGGCCACTTCAGCCAGATCGTTTGGAAGGGCAGCTCGAGCGTGGGCTGCTACACCGCCGACTGCTCGAGCGGAGGGTTGATTAACGCGGGTCCGCCCATCCCGCCGTACTTTACCGTCTGTAACTATTCACCGGCCGGTAAGTCCGCTTGGAAATGGGCATCTTCTTTCTTTTTCTCCCCCTTCATCTCTTCCAGGATCGAATACCTGGGGGTAGTGGCCGGGCGGCGTCTGGACAAGTCCATGTGACTGACTGGAAAGCAGGAAACGTGCTCGGAGCATTCGCTTCGAATGTAGGCATGTCGATCGGACTGGCGACCGTGCATGGTGAGTACTGATGTATTGGAGATGCATGAATCAAGGGCGGGTGGCACACGGGACACGGGACAGGAAACACGAGAGATTAGATTAGAGCATCGGTCTTTGCCGTCGAGGCAAGATCCCGCAACAGGGGAAGGTGCCGACTGATGATAGCATATTACGGTATAGCATATGTATTCCCTTTGATCCTCGGGTCGTTATATTCCGCGCCCTACACCATTATTAGCCCTTGTGGAAGACCCGATCACTATACAAATACTGTCGCAGTGCTCACGTGGCGGGTCACCTTTACCTGGGTTACGCAAAAGGATGCTTCCTGGTCCGTTTGACTGTCTATTCACCCACCCACAGAGAGGACGATGAAATGAGACCTACAGTATACTGTAGGTTGACTGTTGACTTTCTTGGTTCTATCTACGCCTACCGCCCACTTATGTACGCCGAATTGGGCAAGAGAGAAGACCGAGGAAGATGGGGCGAGATAGAGCATCGTTTTGGTGTTAGATGCTCGCGTTCAAGGCAACGGTGGTAGCCTCATGATAGATATGCTGCAGAATTAGCTTCCTTCGACGACCTCATCACCGTAGCTACTCCTTATTTGTCCCAAGTGACAACATTGCCCTCACCCAGTCCTTGTGCTGGCTACCCAGCTGGAGATTCCCCGGAAGCCTTCCATAATCTACACAACGGATTAGCACAGAAGTATGGAGTATAGGTGACAGGTATGCATGTACGTATGCTAACTCAGCGGCGTTCGAGGAATCGGACAGGAATCAATCAATAGACCGAGGGAACCGTTCTCGCACGGATCCAATTACAGCACATTATTAATTGTCTCTTCTCCTCGCGCCTGGTAAACTTGACGGAAAAATATCCGAATGCACAGCCGCAAGCTCGGCCTTCACCGTCCAGGGGTTCGTCGTCGTGTTCACGACCTCGACGTCAAATTAGACGGAAAAACTGCGTCACGATCTTGTAGACCTCCCAACAAGGCCACATTTCGCCCTGTACACATCATGGGTCCGCGACTGAAACCAGACTCCGGCCCGGTCACGGCGCCTCTGGGCAGCTGGGTCGTGGGATAGGTCTTCGGACCAGCGCTCCAGTCGGAACAAGGCCACATCCTCGGCGTAGATGTGCGGATTATTACCCGACGGCCCGCTGCGAGAGGCCGGCTTCAGTACCTGCGGGGAGGAAGTGGCCTGCAAGATGGGCTCCCGGTCTGGGTACTGTGCGAAACAAGGGGACGGGCCCACGATGGGATGTGCCTTTTGAGTCTCCTTGAACAGAACGTTCAGGCAGGGGATGTGTCGCTTTGATTTGGTCGTACGTCCGCGGGCGTTGCGGGTGCGCCCCGAGAATTTATCAGAGTGCTTACTTCGAGGCCGTCCCTTCAGGGACGAAAATCAACGATTTCCGGACGTAGCTCACTCTAGAGTCGTCCCTCGAGAGGGACGCTTTGCGACAGAATTCTCATCGCTTTAACGCTTGTAACATTGTATTTCGTCGCCGCGGGGACGCCTGACCCTATAGCCTAAAGCCGAATTGCCCCTATACTATCTTCTCAACCTTAGCTGCCTAGTCGCTCAGCCGCCGCTGCTGCCTTATCGGGATCAGGATAGTATGGCACTCCCGCTGTTGGGGTCGCGTCTTCAACGAGGCGTAAAGGAAACGGATGGGGAAGGCCCACCACGGGAGGTAGCGGGAAGTCCTCGTCGTTGAAGAATTCGTGTACTGGTCGATCGCCGTCAGGCCCAGGTGGCCCGACAGAACTGCTTGACCCCGTGTGATACAGGTGAGTGGTGCCATCCGTATTTATGGCCGGGTCCACTGCGAATGTCACATGATCGCCGTGAGGATCCCGAGATGTATGAAACCCATCGGTCGTTGTGATTGGCAATTCCCCAGTGGATGCGCCAATTCCGCTCGATCCCACTCGAAGTGGACCGGTAGCGTGCCTCAGACTATTGTTGACTATGTTTTGCTTTCCCTCGTCTTTCAAGGTTTTGAATCGATTGTACACAGGAGGCAGCATATGTTCTTCTGGATTGAAGTGGCGCGTCGGCGCCCCATGGAAGTCGCCTGCTGGCCCTCTGATCTCTCGGTGACCCCCGGGCGGTGCGACTGCCGGTCCCGTCGCTAGAGCTGGACGTGGTGTGGCTATCCCAGCTGCAAGCTTCTTTTCCTCTGTCAAGTTTGGCATACCTGGCACGTCTGCGTAACCCGATCCGAAGAAAGGGTAGCCTGCTTTACCCGCGCCACCGGAGTGTGGTTTCAAGTTCCCGTAAATTGAAGATGGAGGTGGTGTGCGGCTAGTTGGCATAGATGTATATGATTCATCTCTTTTAGACGCTCCACTTGCGTGGAAAATCTCTCCTGGGCCAGGGGGATCGTACCCTTCGGGAGGATACCTGAATCCTGGCCCTTCTGGTGGCGGAATTGGTGGTCTCCTCGGTGCGGGTGCTGCGATTGAGTGCTCTACCAGAGGTGCTGCCTCATGTTCGGCACGAAGTGCTGCATGATGTTCTACCAGAGGTGGTGCACGATGTTCTGCCAGAGGTGCTGCCTCATGTTCGGTGCGAAGTGGTGCATGATGTTCTGCCAGAGGGGCGTGTTCCGCAACAGGTGCTATGTGGGCCGTCGGTGGTGTGTGCCCTGATGGCCGTCTGGTGCCGTGACCGCTCGTGTCGATGTGTTCCTTTTCAGCCATACTGAACGGATACAGCTCAAGTACAGTAGACTCTAGAATAATATCTCTTACTCTACAGCTAGGCTATTGTAGAATATATCGTACTTGTATCAAATATCCTGTAATAGATATCTAGGTTAGTTATATAAATAGTAGTGAGGCTTAGTCTTAAGCTTAAATACTTTTCTCCGACCCCAAGCTAACTTACTGTATCTTAGCTTACTCTTATAAAGGTAAATCAAACATCATTGAGCTTTGATAGAATTTCCTAAAATATAGAGTAACCACTAGTTACTTACTAAGCCTTGCAAACAAGTACAAAGCGTCCCTAAATGTACAGTCACTACCGGAATCGAAGTATGAGAGAAGGATACTTCTCTCATGCGAGGTCTCGGCTTCCGTGTTTCGGCCTTGGCGTGGCTTGGCGTTTCAGACAAGTAGAGCCTCCGCCCCAGGGATTGGAACCAACGCCATAAGAACAGAGGTCCCATTTCCCAATATTACCATATGTATAATGTTCGCTATGTTAATTGCCTTTTTCGTGTAAAGCAGTATCATTTACTCCTTACATGTACTATAAAGCCATTAACCATCCTAGCCCTATTCTACTCTCGAAGATGAATGCCATCATACTGCTTTCTATACCTGACAAGGACTCTCAAACTTATAGATTGACATCAAGTCGAACAACATTATGGCGGATTGGACTGAGCAAGACCTGTCGGAAGACCGGATCAGTCAATTGCTTGAAGAACTCAAACAAGCAGTCCATGAGTATGGTGAATTGCATCGCGCTCAAGGTGCGTAGTTCCCTGTCTACGCATTCAACACCGTTGGTCGACTTCGAGCGAAGAGGAAAAACAGGCTGATCGACGTGCTTAGGTGTGGACGAAAACGAACACCAACCCGCCCTCCACCAACACTCGAAGTACATCTACGGCCTGTCAAAGGAGTATCTCGGCCATGACCCCAAACACGCAAGCGTCCGTAAGTTGTACAAGTGGTTCGGTCAGACCGTCCGAGGCCAATTCCCTGGACACCGTAACCTGCGGCCAGAGCAGCATAAGACGTACCATCGACACATTGCCGTCGGTCAGGATGACGACGGAGATATGTCCGACATGGATCCAGCTCTGATGGACGACAGCGACAGTGAATATGGCGGCAGTCATGGGGATGATCATTGCAGCGGTGACGACCAGGACGAGCAGCAATACGACGATGGTTATCATGACAAGCATCATGAGGATTACCATGGCTACGGAGGGCGTCATGACCGGCATCATCACGGACAACATGAGGGGTGGAATGAAAATGGGGAAGACGCTGGCCAGGGTGAATGGGACGGAGAATTGGGAGACGACGGCCAGGACGACAGAGATTACGTCCATGACAACGGTTGGAATGATCAGGATGAAGACGGCCAATATAGCCACCACGGCGAAGGAGATTACAGGGACGGAGGAGATGAGCACGAGCACGGAGATCAACATCAACACCAAGGCCACAACCATGAGCACCAACACCATCATCAGCACCAAGGCCACGATCATCGCGCAGACGATTATTAGATGTCGTCGTCTTTGGTTGAACTTTGAGAGGCACACCCCGTTAGTGGTAAATCTTGAGATGAGAAGTTGGCTTTACACTTTCATGGTATCGTTTCAGAGTATTCTCCTGCGCTTTCCTCATAATACTGCAACCAACAACTTTCGGAGAGCTCGGTGAAGGATTGGGGAACCCAAATACAGCGTGGACTCTAAACATTGCAAGGATCGTGACAGCCCTGTTATTTCGCCCACGTTGCATTCGTGTTGAGAACAAAGGCTGCAAGCTCAAATCCAGGTACAGAGTGCCATGAAATGTATGCCCATGCCGTCCCTGTCTCTTGCGCCTCACTGCCCCCACGAACGACTGGCCAACTTCCTATGACATAGAAGGATCGCGGTAGGAGGTGATGCACTTCTCCTGAGTGGTCGAATGGGATCTGTGAACAGAATCGACGCGTCGTGCATGGAGAACCTGTTGGATTGAAATGCGAATCGAGATGCGAAGGTCGTGTCCATCAAGTTTGATGATCAATATCGCATGACAACACTTTCACCAACCTCACTGCAAGAAGACGATCAACGCCGTAACCCCAAGGAATGTTAACTCGCATCGGTGTCCGTTCAAACCAAAGCGGAGGGAGAAATTGCCAGCGAACCTCGCACGCGGACGAGAGGAAGTCGAGCTCTGCTGCGAGGTGGCGAGATGTGGGCAAGATCCGGTCATCTGCACAAAGCATGCTTGGGCTGTAGCAAGGTCCCTTGACGAGAGCACAGTCAGAAAGGAACTCTGGTCTAGGTAGAGGGTGGTTCAAGATTCTACAGCAGGGCAGCAAAGCCGAGAGCAATCGTAGGGAGATGTAGCATAGCAATTTCCTGTAAGGGGTATATCTATCTACCGGATTTGGGGCGGGTACTCTGCCCGTAACGCGCATACGGGCCGTGTAAAACAGCTACTCCGTACTTCGGCAGCCGGTACCGGCCAAATTCCTGGCCTGACCCACCTCCGCGACCTACATGGGAACACGGTCTTCAAAGCAGACACATTCATTCACGCCGCGTCAGAACTGACACGCCGATCAAAGAACGAGACACAATCAAATATAGCTAACCCATAACAAAATTATTCACATCCACCTCGTCTTCCTTTCACTCTCGGTACTTCTTACAGTACCGGGTAACGCTTCACCCTACCCATGCTCGGCATGAATCCAGCATGCAGCAACCCGGAACACTCCTTTGTTGGGTGATTGTTCCTCACTTGGATCCAAGGGAAGACGTTACCCTAACCCGCGGCTGAAATGTTTTTGTCTGAACCGGCTGTCGATGACAGGCGACGCACCCGACTTGCATCCTTCATGTACCCCAGGGTTTCCCGCCATTATCGCGATTCATATTGATGGCGGCAGTGCTGGAAGACGCTGCAGGTAATGCAGGGAAAAGCTCATCTGATGGCAAAGCCCTTCCAGTGCGTTGTTGCCACAGCTTCCGGCCACGTTTCTTCGTGAGGCACACGATAAGGGGAGTGAGCATTGCACATTCCCGTCATCATCTGTATGCCCATTCCGTAGACTTGTATTGCCTGCAAATACCAAGCGTAAGGCCAAGTCCTCCATGGTGAGATATTTACTGGGTGAATCACGAGGCCGGCGGCCAGGGCCTGATCGAGTCTTACTCAGTAAAGATCCCTCGCTCGAGCAGAGTCTCATCCATCAGCTTTGGTGATACTTGTCGACGCTGACTGACACGTATACTTCTGGTTTGGCTGTAGGATTTCCCCCTAATGGTAGTTAGTTGGCATAAAGAGTGTGTCACATCCAGGAGACACACTTTCCGATGGCCGGCTGGGCGTGAGGCCCGCCTGATATAGAAGCATACGGCAATAGAGGCGGATAGTCAGTCCGGGTGACAAGTTGGGTTGGCGGCCATGATAACTCTCTTTGTGAAGAAGTATGCGAATCTTCCACAGCAAAGCTTCGGTGTCTGTGTACGGAGTCGATTGATGTGAAGATTGAGGTTCTGATATCGAGTACTTGCCAAAACGGACAGCTTCCACGAGTCAGTCCCTAGCGAGGACAAAGGCGGTTAACAAGAGTACCAGGCCTTCGCAGCCGGACTTTTCTCAAACATAACCTCAAGCCGACGACCCAGGCCGGCTGTGGCATTGTGATTCTCGGACGGGAAGCGCATCAGTACCCTGAATGATAGGAAAAGGTCCGCGATAGCGTGACTTCTTGACCATCGTCCTCGGAAATATCGTCATCCCTCTGGGTCTTAGGTTTGTCTTGCATGGCGACGGCGCCCTTGTGCGGCTGCTGAAACTCACGGGCCGTCTCACGATCTTTCTCTGCCACAGCGACCATTTCAGGGGCGTCGCCTTCGACAGGTGGCTTCTGATGATCTTCGCCGTCTGTGAAAGACCCCATTTCGCCGGAGCTGGACTGGTGTAGCTTTTCTTCCTTTGCCTGTTGAGCTTTCCTTTCCCGCTCATTCCGCTGCGTCCTCCACTTCATTCCCCAGAAATACACAGCCCACAGCATGGGAGAAGTCGATATCAGAAAAAGGGTCAGAAACGTAAAGGTCCATCCTCGGCCCATGGCGTTGATCATTGGCAAAATAGCAGCGGTTGCCCCTGCTCCCAAACCGCACCTGGCCAGATTGTTTGCAGCCGTTGCCGTTGCCGGGGCCTTGGGGTAAAAATCGACGAGCAAGGTACTCGTAACGTTGAACGCCATCGACATACTGAGGCTGGTAAAGAACAAGACGACAAGCAAAGCCGGTAGTGGTCCATTGACATCCAAGATCCAACCGAATATACACACAAGCATTGCGGTGACATAAGATGCTGGAATGGCGATCTGTAACCTCGCCTTTTCAATCGGAAAATTGCTGAGGTCCTGGTTTCGGCCTTTTCTGATCTTCACCCCCAGCTTCTTGCACCAACGAGCGAAGTTGCGGTCCAGCACTTGCCCGTTGGTCAACGCAGCGCATAACGACCCGAACCCGAAAGGGATGAAGCATAGACCGATCTGAAGCTCGTTGTACCCGTAATTTGCCTCCAGCTGCGAGGGCATCGCTGCCGTGACGTCGTAGAAAGCTGCGAACAGAAAGGCGTTATACCACAGCAGGAGTGCATTCTCCTTGTCGAACATAACGTGAAGAGAGCGCAAGGGATTCGGAAAGCGGAACGTCTTTTTCTTACCCAAGCCAGATTGGGACCGTAGTTCTGCCACTGACTGCTGGTCGTCGGGATGCATCTTTCGTGCTTTGCGGATGGCGAGATAATTCATTAACGACATATTCCAGCCCTTTGGAGGGATCGAACCGTTGCCGACCTGATTGCGTGCTACAAGGTTGTGAGTACCAGCATCTGTTCACGTACAAAGGCTAACATTACCTGTTTCTGGAAAGAAGATGGCAAAGACACAAATGAAGGCCGAACCCATGATCATCAGGAACCAAAAGATTGAACGCCAGCCTAGAAACTCGGCGAGGACACCTCCAATGACGGGACCGATGGCTGGGCCGAGTAAAGATCCGGCCAGAGTGAATCCCATATACTTGCCGCGCTCGGCAGGGGTGGCGACATCAGCCACGACAGCACTGCACATGGCAATCGTTGCGCTGGAACCAGTGCTCTGAAAACACCGTAACACGAAAAGAGCCGCATAGCTATTCTGCAGTGCAAGGCCGATGTTCGCGAGAATGTATATTGTAAAGCAAACTGCCAATCAAGTCAGGCTGAGCATCTAACTCCGTGCTCGACGGGCGTACTAGCATATGCGGGCCGTCGACCTGCAGCATCGGCGAGGTCTCCAACAAACGTAGGCGCCAGGCCTTGAAAGATCTGTACACAGATTCAGCGTATGGTCTTGCTTCACCGGACGAGCAGAGCGTACCATGTAAGATGTCAAGGTCAAGTTGATCAACGTGTTGGACACATGCAAGTCTTTCGCCAAGGCATTCAGCGCAGGGAAATAGATCTGACCGGACACAGGAGAGAAGAATCCAGCCCAAGACGCCATGAAGACAATGAATATCTTCTGCCGCCTGGTGAAAACCGAATATACTGGTCCCGGTTCGGTTGCCGTCCGTTGGGCCACGACGGCATCGGGGAGCTCTGTTTGAGCAGTCGGTATCCTCTCGAGAGAGCCATGGTCGGAGGGGTCGACAATGCTGCGGTGTGCCGACGGATGTACGGCTTGCGTGTGTGACAGAGGCGTTTCCGTCACGCGCTGATGGTTGTTCTTGGGTGTAGGGTTGGGGTGTGTCACCGAGTCCTGTACCTCCGGGACATTGTGATCCGCGTCAAATTGATCTCCCGACATCAAGAACCAAGCGGTCGATCGCTGTATCACTAATCTTCCTCGTTCGATTGGTGGGTCAATATGTCTTGTTTAGGCTGACTCTTGACTCGATTAAGCATAACAGCAGGAGCATGCGGCTAAGACCTCGACTCAACGGCGGCGCGAAGAGGGGAAAGGATGGTGTGAGGTTTGTGTGAGAGGGATTGAATGCCGGCAATAACATCATAGCCACAGTTAAGAGAAGGAAAAGACGAAGACCGCAGGGGCAACAGCCGGTTACGGAGACTGCGAGGATCATTATCGGCCATCGTGGATTTGGTGGCCGCGGAATCGAACGACACGAGCACTGGCGAATTGCGAACAAGTGATGATGATGGGAATGTTGAGTGGGGGGAAAAATTGCACGTCGCCCAAGGAGGGAGGTCGTTACTGCTGTATGAGCACTGTTATCTCTGTGGTATCCATTGGCTACCCCCGGCAAAAGCGTGTAAACACAATTGTCTTTACAATGCCGGTACTTGGCCACCTTCCATATGCTCTGCTGGCCGGTGCCGATGATCCGGCGGGCAGACTCCGCCTGAAAGCCACCGCTTGTTCTCCAATCTTCAGCCTGTCTCCAACCACGATCACCAGCGTGTTTCTGCTCGTTCACCGCTGACTGCGCATATCGGCGCGTCGACGCCGATTTTCGCAGTTCCCAACACACAGCAGGAAACGCGCCACGGAAGCCATGTAATGCACGCCCGCGTCCTTGCAGATGAATGCAGAGACATCGTTCCGCATCCAGTGCCCACGTCTCCACCTTGACCGCCAGCGATACGGCGAGCCCAGAGCTGCGAGCACAGGGAGGCTCCAGGGCACAAGCACAGACTGCAGGACGCGACCACGCTCTGGCACCAGCAAAAACAGGCCAGTTGACATTCTACCCGGCCTTCACGTTCAAAGCCTCGGCGACTTGGTCGAAATGGGTGAAGCTCACCTGTCACGACGTCCACTCGGTCCTGAAACCACACGATGAGTTCTCGACTGTTACCACTTCGACTGGCCGTGACCTCGATGAGCCGAGTAGAACGTACGGTCGCAAGGACCTGCCGTTACTCCTGTTCTACCTCAACCACCCGATACAGTTTGTGCAGGTCATCGGTGTAGTGGTTGTGCTGGAGGAGTACTTTGAGAAGTTCTGGCTATTTACCGTAGACGACGGCAGTGGAGCGACGGTCGACGTTACTTTCCCAAAGCCGGAGAAAGAAAAGACGCAGGGCACGGTCTCCATGAGCTCTAAGCGCGAAGTCGAGCCCAACCCCACGTCTGTACGAGAAGATGAAGCAGTCGGCGCAGAACAACACCTGCAGACCACCCTTTCCCTTCTCCGAATCGGCACCGTAGTCCAAGCGAAAGGCACTCTCACGATCTTCAGGCAAACCCGCCAACTCTCACTTATCCGTCTGAACGTCCTCCTCAGTACCACCCACGAGATGGCGCTCGTGTCCTCACGTTCACAATTCTATGCCTCAACACTGTCACGACCGTGGATCCTCTCTCAAGAAGAACAGATTAGACTACGCATGGTGGCGCAGGGTGAAGGAGACGAGGCAGTCGAATTAGCGAGGAAGAGAAGGAAGAGAGAGCATCACAAACGGGCCAGGGAGGAGAGGCATCGGAAGGTTATCGAGCAGGAGTATGCGCGGGAAGAAGAAGCGAGGAAGAAGGAGGCGGCAGAAGCGAAGAAATGGGGCGACATGTTGAATGAGTCTCGCCAGAAAGCACCGACACCTGAGCAAGAGGTCTGGATTACGGTTGAGTGATTGGCACTTCTGTTTACTTCGCCGTCAGCACATCTTGATCACCCGCATCGGGCACACTATAGAGTAGGTCCAAGGACCAATTCAGTAGAGATCCAGGCTGCCAGGTCGATCTTCAAACAAGTTGCAGGCATGACGAGATTGGCTCGAATGGACGTCGAGGACGAGTATGTGAGACGGCTCTGGAGAGGATCAAAGAAGGCATTATTTGAAGAACAATATTTGAATTCTCGTCAATGTACAGTACAAGAAGGACATCTCGAAAACTCTCCCTCCCCCCTGACAGTGCGTTCGACGTGACTAGCAGGATTCTCATCAAGACGGCGTGCGGAATCGACTTCGTGTGCCGTTGCTTCGCGCTGACCGACTGCTTGTCCTTCGCCACTCCTCCATCGTGACTTGTCCACGACTGGCTCCTCCACGCGCCGACTGACTCTAACTTTCTGTCCGCCGTTACTCCCAGGGCCAATGCAACGAAAGGTAACTCCACCCAGCCAGTAGATGGAAACCCTTTTCCTTGCCGTACTGAAAGTCGAAGCCAATCGCAACGCACAATGTATTTCCTTGGAATTAAAAACACATTTCTCTATCCCGCGTATTCGCGCTCTCGCGCTCGAGACTCAAGGTTGCGAACTTTGCAAATTGGATCCCCAAATCCACAATCGCTGAGATCGCGGAGGAGAATCAAGAGAATTTTGGTGCTGCTCTGCAAATGCTGAAACAGGTGGCAACTCGCCGGGTATCAATGCACATCTTCTTTTCTTCTATCCATCCCCAGAAGCGGCCGTCATTCAAATATTAGTGACTAGTCGAATCGTATTATGTTGTACACATGTGGTTGATCGAGGCCTTGGCCTTCATTCGGCACCTTTATCCGGTGATCTCGATCGTTCTCGTTCGATCCTCGGCTGTGACTTTTGCGTGGGAGGAGAAGCTGGATTAGAAGGAGGCGAAGCTGGTCCGTCATTTTCAAGAGCGGCAAGGGCACTGGCACATTTGTAAGTTCACTGCAAAGCATCCCTGTTGAAGCGGACTTACCTGAATGCATTGGTGCTGGATTCATCCTTCTTCTCTTTCTGGGCTGGGGGTGTGCCGGTACGGCTGCTCGTGGCACTATCATCGGTGCGACCCAGCAGCCCACCAGGTCCGAGCCCACGACGTCCGCTGTTGGTACGTCCACCCATCAGGCTTGGAGGGCCCCCGAGCCCGGATGTGTGGCTGGGATTTCGAGCGTTACGGTTACCCAGTCGTCGCAGGTCATCGGTACCAACACGATTTGAGTTGTCTGGGGGAGGCACTTGTCCATAGCCGCTGAAATTCCGTGCATCACCGCGACCCATCGGCATGCGGCCTCCGCCGCCGCCACGGCCACTCTGAGCAGCGAGTCGCCTGAGTTCGTCTTCGCGGGCTTGACGTTCAGCCTCTTCTCGGATCTCGGTAATCGTCTTCGGGCCTTTGTTGTCTGCCTTGGAAGTCCAGCCCTTGGCTCGCAAATCCACCACATCCATGAGCATGAATCTGAGGCGGCTGGGAAGATCTGGAATTGCGATCATTTGGTTGATACGTTCGAAGTAGAGATCCATACGACCTTGTGCCTTGCTCTCAGGGTTGTCGAGCTGTTTGCCGACTGTTTGCAGCAAGCTGGTCAAGCTCTCGATCTCAGCTTCGTCAGGCGTACCTTCGTAGTCGACAAGCTTCTTCACACATTCGTGCATGATACGCTCGGTCAACATCTGTAACTTGAACAGTTCACCGATGAATTTGACAAGACCAAGGCCACGACGCTTGGCAGCCATGGCAATGTAGTACTCGTCAGAAAGCATGGCGGCCTCCTCGGTCTGACCTTCTGGCTGAGGAGGCAAGTTGACCTTCCAGCCCCGTTCGAACTCTTCTTGACACCGGTTGAGGAGATACTTTCGGAACAAATTGCCACCAGTCACGACGTTGCCATTCTTGTCCTTGATACCCTCGTCTCTAATATCGGCGCTCATGCTCTCCAGCATGCGTCGGCAAAACTGGGCGTACATGCCTGCCCAGTGAGCTTCATCAGTGGCCTTCTCGAAGGTGAGCTGGATGACTTGACGCAAGGTGCGACCGTCGGACTCGTGCTTGGATTGGCCTGAGATCTCAAGGATCTGATCGGCAATCTTGTCAAATTTCTCAGGCGTCATCTTGTTCAAAAGCGACTTGGTTTTGCGCTGGACCATCTCTGGATCCATGAGGCCTTCACCACCCAGTGCAGGACCAGAAACCATAGATTGACCAATGCTCCGTGGCTTCCAACCGGTGGCTGATACCTCCAGTGCGCCGATGTTCATGCCAGCGGTCAGAGGCATAGACTTGTTGTCTTCTCCATGCCCTTTGGTATTTTGTTTATTCCGTTTGCTCTCTGCGCGAGAGCCTCCACGGCTTGCACCACCGACACGAGGAGATCCAGGGATAGGACCGAGAGGATTGTTGGAGGGCGTTCGTCCCATTGGAGGTGCCATCTGGCCACCCGGACGACCAAACTGAGCGAAAGGATTACTGGCTATCGCCCCGCTCCTCAAAGCAGCGTTTGAGGCAGCGAACCGCTGCTCAGATGTCGTACCCGGGGGCAGCGTTGGGCGGTTCATGCCACCAAAGTTGCCCATGGGCCCAAAGTTCATGGGGGCGGGTCCACGGGCGGAGGCGCTGCGACCACCCATGCCAGAAGGTGTTCGGGCCGATGCGCTTGGTCGGGCAGAGGCATCTCCATCGCCCAGTGCTTCCCGGATGCGAGCATCCCAATCGAGGGTTGGCTTCTCCTTGAAGACGCTCTGGAACTGAAGCAGGAACTCCTTGTTGTATTTGAAGCCGCGATCAGCCGGAGCATTGGCATTGAGTGCTGGGTTTGGAGACGCAATGTCTGAGGGATAGACAACTTTGGAGATGTCGTCGAGCTTTTTAGCAGACTGCAATGCTTTTAGTGTGGCGCTGGGCTCCGGTGGCTCCACAGGCTTCCTGGTGTCGAGGGTCAGCTCGGCGGCCTTGGCACGACGTCCAGCTGCTTTTCCTGGAGGAGGCATTGACACATCCGAGACAGGCGTGGCGGTTCCGCTTTCGGCAGGGGTGGCGCCAGCGGGGCTTTCTGTAGATGCAGGAGTCCCAAACGGATTGCGCTTGAGCTCGGCAAAGAGCTTCTTGCTATCGTCGTCTCCCGAACCTCCCTCAGCCTTTTCCTTCTCACGAGCGAGTTCTTCTTCTTCGGCCTTGCGCTCCAATTCCTTCATGTTCTGTTCATAGGCGGCGGCCTCCTCTTGAGCCTTCTTCCGCTCGGCCTCGCGTTGAGCAGCCTTTCGCTTATTGTACTCTTCTTCACGGCGGAGTTCCTCGGCCTCTCTTGCAGCTTCTTCGGCTTCGATCTCTGCGGCGAGGGCATCATAGTCGATTTCATCTTGGTTGTCTGCCTTGGGCGGGTTATCCTTGGATTCAGTTTCTGCGCGCTTCTTCTCCTCTGCCGCCGCCTCTGCCTCTGCCTTTTCGGCAGCCTCAGCTTGCTTAGCGGCCTCGGCTTTTTCGGCCGCTTCCTTCGCTTCCTTCTCAAGCTGTTCCGCCTTGGCACGAGCTTCGGCTGCTTCACGCTCAGCCAGTTCGGCGGCTTCCTTGTCCATTTCAGCCTTTTCGGCGAGTTCCTTCTCCAGTTTAAGTCTGGCTTCGTCTTCCGCAATTTTTTTGGCCACTGCTTCTTGCATTGACTTCTTCACCTCCTCTGCGGACTTAGCGTTGACGCTCTCTGAGCGCGTGTGAGCATTGTCAGCAGCGCTAGTGGTGCGACTGGGAGGGGTGGGGGCGGACTGTGGTGGAACGACAGCGGACACTGGGGTGGAGGTGGCAGGTGAAGCAGGCGGCTTATTGAAAGAGACGACTTCGCCGGCAGTATTCTTGATAACGATCGCTGCACTCTTCTTCGGGGGCAGGGTGAAGGCTTTCTGAGAAGAGACACTCGGAGCTCTGTTCGTACTATGAGGAGGGCCAGTCGGCGCGGGCGTGGACGGCTGTTGGCCAATACTTGATCCAGGTCGATCAGGAGCAGATATTTGAGATGATTGTCTCGACATGGAGGGAGGAGGTCCGCCTTGATTGCTGTAGGAAGGCTGCATGCTTGGCGCTCCATACATACCCTGATTGAACGGTGGTCGGGGGGACTGTGGCTGCATGGTGTAGGGTGGATTGAACTGACCCTGCATTGCCTGCGGGTTGTACATTTGCATCTGCTGCATGTACATTTGTTGAATGCTAGGATCAGCTTGGGTCATGGGATAGGCCTGCGTTCTTACAGTCAGAACTTGCTCTTGAAAACGTTCAAAATTGCCCGACTCAGGTGACAAGTCAGGATAGGGAAGAGGTGCATTTTGGAAAACTTGGACAGGGGCCTGCGCAAGTTCGGGGGCAACTTGTACAGGTTGAGAAATCGCAAGATCGGGGCGATAGTGGTCTGAGGCAGGATCTCTGCTGAAGAAAGTCGATCTGTCCTCGTGTCCACCTCTACCAGGGCCTTTACCACGACCAGCTCCTCGAGCGGGACCGCGGCCTCGGCCTTTCGTAGGCTTGCCTTTGTCTCTTGCGGGTTCTCCGGTGGGTTCTCTTGTGGGGTCACGTGAAGAAGGAAACGGCGGGTGGTTCTTTACATGTTGGGGTCCCATAAAATATCCATTGGGCTGTGGCATCCCGGGCTGCACCATGTGTACCTGTCCTCCCATGTTCGGGGTTCCTGGCTGGGCGTTGACGAGCGCCGGGCTTCGGGTGCCCATGGCGGGAGATCCTTGATAGGGAAGGGATTGGCCTCGACCTCCCTGGTAGGTGTTCTGGAACGGGCGACCGTTTGGCGGAGGCCGGAATTGCTGCTGGGGAGAGTAGGGCGTGGGCTGTTGCTGGTAGAAATTGCCTCGGCCGCCGCGGCCGGTGCCTTGGTAGCCTCCACGGTGATTGTTGGGTCCGGCTGGGGGAATGCCAGGACCGCCCGCATCACTGTGAATGGATTGAGAGGAGTTGCGCCTCATGTGGTCCTGCTGAGGTCCGAACTGTATTGGCAGCGGTCGAGACATAGCCTGTAAAAACGCGTCAGTGGGTATGGGTAAAACAGGATTTGAGCTTACACTTGGATCATTGTGATCGGTCTGTCCAAATGTATATGCATGTCCTTGGCCATTGAAGCCCTGGGGAGGCCGACCACCACTAACGGAAGCGGGCTGGGGAATGGGAGAAGGCGAATTGGAGGGCGAAGTGGCTCGAGGGTTTAGCTGGCCGACACTGAGATTTGCCGAGTTCTGATGTGCCAACGAGGGGGGTGTGCCCATCGCAGGGGAGCCCGCTTGGTTTTGCATTCCCATCGCGCCGAACTGGATCGCAGGCTTGTTCTGTGGACCACCTGGAGCACCTCCGTTTGCCGTGAAGCCGGTGACGCCAGCAGGCGTGACTGTCATAGAAGGTTTGCGTGAGTGATCGGGAAGGGAGACACTGCCGTTGACAGTGGGTATGGCAGGAATCGTAGGGTTTCTTCCATTTACGGAATCGCTATGGCCATGGGCGGGCGGAGCGCCTCCAACTGCTGCAGACATGTTGGTGGGCTCCGATGCATTGGGTGTGGAAGAAGAGGCTTTGGAGGCGGATGGGAACGAGTTCCGGCCTTGAGTAGCCAAATTCGATCCGGTCGCGAAGTGTGTAGCAGTCGATTGTTGTTCGGAGGGATGGGGTCGACTCGCAGAGAGATCTTGAGGATTCGATGTCATCAGAGGTGATGAAGGCTCTTCAGGCAGCGATTCGGGTGTGCAAAAGCTGATGAGGAGGCTGAGACGCAGCAATGACAAACGCGATGGGAATGCTTCTGCGATGGTCGAAGGAGGGTCTGCAGAGGATTTCCACTACGAGGCGACTGTCTCGAGTGAACGGAAGCCGCTCTTGTGCTTTTGTGGAAGAGGTTGGGGAAAGAGTTGTCTGAGCTTCTCTTTTTCCAAGGTGAAGGCAGTGCAGAGAGGAGAGTTCACGGCCCAGGCAGAGATCCGACTCTCGGAGAGGGATCTTCGTGCGAAGGCGCCGAAAGAATTGTCCTGCTGAAGAGGAACAAGAGGGCACGACGATATTGTCGATGCCAAAACAACCTCACGATACGCGAGGCGCAAGTCAATGTGGTAGAAGCGTTGGTTTGAGCAAGAGGGAGAGAGCCGCAGTTGGGAAGGAAGGCGCTCCTTACGGGAGAAATTTTTGGGTGGCTTGGCAGTCACCCGTTGCAAGTCACTACGAACAGTCCAGTCGACAGGCTGATCCCGTCACTCAAGCTGCCGCCACGATTCCACCACCGACGTTACTATTGTGCTGGCCTACCAGCAGGAGGCTTCCCAGTTTGTCGCGCACGAATAGTCACCTATCTTCATATTCACAACTTTGCTGTCATGCGCCCGGCACAGTAAAGGCTCGTATGACCGCGACGGACTCCCTCCAGCCGAAATAATCACCCCCTTATTTGCTGCACTCTCTTTCGCCCCCGGCCATTCAAGCGGACATGCTGCATGCGACTCGTCCGATTTGACTCATTCTGTGCCATAAGTCGTGGAAGGCATCCGTCTACGCTGCTTTCCCTTCCCCTCGCTCTGGGGCGCATGCGATTACTGGCAATTCGGCACCAGTCGCTGGGCGAAGCACGGTTACGAACGCATAGGCGAATGGCCTATTCCATTCTAGCGGAGTTCATGACGCAGTGGGCAAGGCTCATTCACACTCGTCGAACTCCGTCAGAAGCCCCTGTCGAGTTTCAGACATCAGCATTTCGAGCTCTAAGTCCGGCTCGTGCTTCCTTCTTCCGTCCCTGTCGCTTGGCCACACACATCCTCGTCGGGTCAGCGACCGTCGCCCGTGTGTAGGCCGCCTCAGCCGCCCATTTGACGGGCTCTGAAGACTCCATGTGGCGATTGACGATCCAGGCTAATCAACACATCATTCTTCTTTCGGGACGAAATGCAGTTGGGGATCTCTCTTAACTCCGCAATCATTGCCACATGTTTTGTGCGAAGTGCCGTGAGGGGCCGCGGGTCATCCACTGAGCGCAAAACAAATTCGTAAAATGGTGCCGAGAATAAACGGTTTGGTATTACTTGCATTCTCCGAGCGCAAAGTAGTATGCAGGTCGTCAGCAATAAAGTGGACTTCTCAGCCATTGCGGGGAATGGGACGGGCCTGCGAACGATAGTTACGAGCACCTCGTTCCAACTAGACGTTGTAGCTGAGTCGACGCGCTCGACCTGAAGATGGGAATACTCGTTTAGAGTGCCCGGCACAGCCCTAGCCATGCGTACTGAAATCCAAGATTCCCAAGACCCCCTTTCGTGTGAAGTACCGTCATTGACCCCTTCTGTCATCAACCGGCAAAGCACTCTCAATCGTCCAAACGCCATGCTGAATCTTCGATATGCAGATCGATGTAAACCAAAGCCATCTCCCGAGAACGCTCAAGTTTTGGCCGTCTTCCTGCCCTTCTTGGAATTCTTCTGGAATGCTTCTTCCGGCGGCTCATCCATGTCCTTTCGCTTGCCTTTCTTCGGTCCGGTCCCGTACTTCGCCTCCAGGTCGTCGAAAAAATTCTGGGCCCTGCTTTGCTGGCGCTGCTGGATTAGAGCTTTAAGTGCATTGTCATCGCCCTCTCCTTTCTTCGATCTCTTGCTGGTCTCTTTCTTTTCAAATAGCTTATCCTCAACCCCCAACTCGCGAGCAAGTTCCATTGCCTCTGCTTCTTCCTTTTTAGCATTGGTCTTGCGTTTCTCCCGGCTCTTCTTGCTCTCCTTTGTAAACCGGTCGTAGGCTTCGACCTCGCCTCGAGCAATGGCGTCCTTGATGATGTTCCTGAATCGCTCCTCGTCTGCCAACACCTCGCTGCACATAACACTCTCAAAAACGGCGTCCATGTCTCCTTCGTTCTGTTCATATGCCGCCAGCACATCGTCTCTTTCTTCGTCGCTGCCCTGATACTCCTTCTTCACCTGCTCGATCATCTCGCCTCTCACTACATTCTCACTCTGTTCGCGGAAGAAGTCGACCCAGTTGAAATCGTCATCGTCAAAGTTTGCGCTCTCCGCAGTATTGCCCGTAGCGTCGAACCGTTTGCGTCTGCGCTCGTCACTCAAAATAGCATAGGCAAACGCTATCTCTTGGAACGTCTTGTGAGCGGTTTCTCGGTCTTCTGCACGGGCTTTGTCTGGATGGTGCTTCAGTGCCAGTTTGCGATACGCGGATTTGATCTCATCGGGAGTAGCGGATGTTGGAACGTGTAGGACCTCATACGGATCGATAGTAGGAGGATCGTCCACAGCAAGTTCTTCCTCTCGATCAGCCCATTCCTCTTGTGCCGCGGACTTCACCTCAGGTTGAGACTTGGATTTGGCTTTCCGAGGCATGGTGGGCTGCTGGGCGTGTCAGACGAGCAGAGTCCTTGAAAATTTGAAAATCGAGGCACTGGTGACAGGGCGAGGTAGGTGAGCGGGTGAGAACAATATGCAAGTGCAGGGAACATTGAAATGAAGTAAGTTAAAGCGCTCGATCGCTGGTGTCTAGAGAAACACGAGTCCAGGAACCGCGTCTGTACACGCGACCGAAGAGCGAACGTGACAGGAGTGAGGGTGACGTCATCGCCCTGCCTTACTTTTATTAATCCCATTCGACCTCACCTTCACCTGTCTCTTTCTCACTTTCTGCATCCAATTTTCTTGCTCATATTTGTAAAACATACTTTTATGGCAGCGTCGATCACAACCCCAACGCTTCACGGAGCGATCCCGCAGGCATGGTTCTTTCCTGTGCTTTGGGTCGAAAGACTTTTCCGTCCAAGGCTGGGACGGCTCGCGTAGAGAAGCTTCAAGAATTGCAAATATGCATTGATTTGAGGATGCAACTGAGACCATCATTGGGCCGAACCATTGTCACAGAGCCTGCTCAACCTCCTCAACTGCTTGCAACTAATTAGACCACATCTCCTTTCGACACGGCAGATTCCCCTCACAACTTCCCCCCAAGCTCGTACTCAATGAGCTTGAAGGTCTTGGCAGCTCTTCGCCGCCAGTTGAAGTAAATCTATTTGTGTACAAGAAATCGTTTTCATACGCTTGCATCCGCAGCCGGTCTTGGCCTCAATGCGCTGACAAAGAGTTGACTTATTGCCCTCAGCTGTGCGGAAGGATGTCTCCTTACGTATTGCCAGCCATGTTGTAAGTGGGTGTTGCGAATGCACCTGTTTAAAAGAGCGACCACCTTCATGTATGCTAACCTTAAAAATCGTGAAACCGATCGTGCTCGTGACTGGGAAGCTCGTTCATTTGCCATGAGAGATTTCCACCTGCTACAATCCGCCTGTTGTTTATTTGTTGACGGATGGTAAACTTGTCCTTTCTCCCACAAGTTATCCAGGACCGACTCGGAAGTCTTATCGATCACTTTCTCAGACTGGTCACCGGCGTACAATGTCACGATTAGCGAAGCGATCTCCAGGAGCAGAGTCGCCGAATATGCAGCGTCGGAAGGACACGCCCTCACCGAGGCGGAGGGCGACACCTTCCAAAAGCCACGAGCCTGAGACCAGGTATAGCAGACACTTCGCTACGGACCCAGTGATGGCTATGGGGTCCAAAACGCCTTCCCCCGATTTTATGTTCATTCCCATGTCCAGCGAACCGGGAAGAAGAGCTACAATACGCCCTGACCTTCGAGCTTCGGCCAAGGCACATGTGATGCACGACTACAAGCGCAAGACTGCCGAGAAACGTCTTGCAGAGTGGAAAATATCAACACCGAAGAATTTTTCGCAGACACCAAAAGAGCCCTTGCCGGAAGCCCCTGCCTTCGGACCTCCAACAGCCTTTCCTCAAAAGGTTCTGAGTTGGCAGATGGTGGAATTCCAGACAGAGGAAATTCAATCAGAGTCAGAAGCAAAAGCTGCCTCCAGGAAAACAACTCAATCTGAACGACCCGGTCATTGGTCTCAGCAGATGTCGTCGCTTGTATCGCCACAGACTTCTGCAGCCACTGTCTTCAAGTCCCAAAGTGCGCCCATTTTTACCCAGCCCCGTGGCAGCAACCTGTTGGATGTCTTCTCTGCACTCCCGATCCAAGTTCAGCCGTGGGACGAAACGCTAATAACCCGCTGGCTCAACTACGACCGCATTCCTTGGTGCCCTGTCAACGGCCAAAGTCAGTGGATCCCATTTGTAACACATTCCCCGGTCCTTCTACATACGAATCTGTATTGCTGGGGTATGCACTGGCATGGGAAACTCACGGGAACCGACCAACGCATCTTTCTGCACCAGAACCCACAAATCCTGGAACATAAGATCGTTGCTATTCAGATGATCAATGCGTTCCTCGAGTCTCACGCGACCATATCTGATGAAATCTTAGCCGCAGTCGCCATCTTTATCAACATCTCGTTGCAGTTTCTCGACCGGGATGAGGCCGCAAGGCATATGGTGGGATTGGGGACTTTACTCAGGCTCCGAGGCGGGCTCGAAAGCCTTTCACGCATGGGTACGGTTGGCGTCCTTCTGCAACGGATGATAAGCTGGAACGATCTCTTCTTCGTGGAGCTTTTTGGAGGTAATCTCCGTTTCTCCCTCCTTCCGCGTTGGGACGAGGCGTGGAAAGCTGTATACGAACCTCTCTTCGCTGATCCAGTGACCCACCTTGAACCGCTCCAGGCACGCTTTGCTGGGGATCCCGCTCACGAAGTCATGTCACTGTTGCGAGAGATGCAAGTGGTCTGCTGCGATATCCAAGCCCGGCCACTGGAGATGCTGACCACGGTGGAGAGGACGCTGCGGCATGACAACCTCTTCCGCTTCGAACGTCGTCTTTGTCTTGCCACGCGCATCACACCAATGCTGCATCATACACAGATCCGTGCACAGGAAAACAACAATACCATGTGGCGAGCAGTCGCCTATGCCGCACTGATGTATGTGCATCATCACATGCGACCGGGATACGCCTTGCACTGGGCACAATTCCGAGCGTTGTCCGTTCAGCTTCGTGGAGAACTTTTTTCCACGAACGCTGAGAGCTGGGACGCCGTGCCAGCGTTGCATCTGTGGGTCCTCGCCGTGGGAAGCTGGGTGAGTCAAAGGGAAGACTGGATTCTTAACATGCTTGCAGACGCGTGTCGAGCGCGGGAGTGTGAGACTTGGAATAGGTTTGAAACGATTTTGAAGCTTTGTCCGAACATAGGGTCCGTGGATGATGAGAGGTTTAGGATTGTCTGGGATGCTGTATCTCAGTTACTATGAGCAGGGACAATGCAGTCGTGGAAGGTTCCATCACCAGCGGCGGCAGAATGGACCTGGTTGTTCCAATAACGCGTGGTGATCTGATGAAGTCTACTCACCCGGACCCTTTGATCAGAACTGGTATTGTGTCAGGTCCGATGGTCGTATGGGCTTCATGTTCTTGTGGCCTTCCCAGATCTCATCTTGCAGGGTTGCGCGTCGACTTACCACCCGAGTGTCTATGGCATATATGTCATTACGACTTGCGGCTGGTATCTTGAAGTCTCTTTTGCATTATTGGGTTTCGATATACCCAAGCGGTGCTTTGCATTCCACTCCTCGATTCTGGTCTCTGATCTGGCTCCTCGTTGGCCTCGTCGGAAGCGAAACTCGACTGTGCCAGTGACCGCCGAGTTTCGGGCGAAGCTACTCACTTGCACTCAGTACGCTGGTTCCTAGTCATCATGGATGAGGAGAGGTTCTGATGGTCCCATTGCGTGGAAACCTTCTCCTACTGAGGCCCAGTGATCCCATGCACACGAGCACGAACCTGCCTTCCAACGCCTTTCAAACCAAGCACCACTTCTGCCGACAATGATTGAAGCGCTCCTCCGCCGCACTGCTTTGTCTCTGATACACTGCATGAGAGGCAACACAATCACACGTATCGTCCCGAGGACTCAGACACCGCGAGGTTGTGTGCGAGCACATGGCCTAATCCACGTAGGCTGTCGGCTGGTAGGTCGGCGTTCCGGTGGTGCATCGGCCTCAGATGACCTCTCACACTTGTTGATTCTCAAGCTGACGTGTCGGGCTCTCTGCAGTCGTGGAAGGAGGTACCTTGCATCCTCGTGCTGGTGGTGTTTGCCATTATCCCCCGAATATGGTTGACAGCGGAGGCAGCCTGAGAATAGGTCTCTGTCCGATAAAGAAAGGCCCTTGCCCCTTACGTTGATGGAAACCGGAGTTTCTCGACCTAGCCCGCGGCAAATGACTTTATTCGACCATCTAGGAGGCCGCTCCTGGCTGCGGACGTGTGCATGTGACGGCGTTGACCTTCAGGACGTCCGATTGCAGGTGGTCAGAATGCGCGGCCAGTTGGTCGGGTTGTACATGTCACAGAGCACCTCAACCAAAAGTACTCCACACCACCGCAATCGACATTGCCAGTACGACCATCACAATCGAGGCAATTGCCGAGCTTGATGCGGCCGAGGGTTGGCCAACCAAGACGCCGGACACGCTCGAAAAGACACTGGCAGCGCCAGAGGTTACGGTTGAAAGCCCACCGCCCACCACGGACGTCACAGTCGAGTACACGCCGCCGCCAGCCGACGTTATGGTTGAGCAAACAGCTCCACCACAAGGATTCTGCGTCGTGATAGTGGTCACGCTGATGCTCGGTTGCGACGTCACAGTAATAATGCTCGGGCCGTTCGGGACGGTGCTGATAATGATAATGCCTCCGCCACCTGCATTGGTGGTCGGAGTTGGAGTCGGAGTCGGCGTTATAGTAATCGTTGAGGGTTGAATTGTCGTCGTCCTGATAGTTGGCGTCGGAGCCGGTGTCGATGGAGAGTAAGGTGAAGATCCATCACAAACTTGGCCTGCTGGACAGCAGCCCGGCGTGCCATCCCGGTTTTGCCAGTAACAGACGTTGGGATAAGGACAGCATAATTGCTCAAATATACTGTTGCCTGCGCAGTATGGATTTTGATCTGTTCCACAGGAGTTCTGAGAAAGACATCGCACCACCAGGCCGGAGAGAACTGTCACTAGCACGAGGAACATCATGACGGCCACACAGCAGCTGAGATGGGCAGATCGTCAGCCATCTCAAAAGCGGGAGGCTGGGGATTATATCTGATGGGAAAAGGCCGGAGCAGCATGGAACTTGGACAACGGCCACGCGCTGATGTGCTTAGCTACAGTAGGTCAGCAGCTCCGGAGGTGGAACAAGGCATAGCTTCTCCGATATGGCCATGTCCAAGGTTGATGATGAGGGTTACGACTGCGGACGCCTTGGAGCAGCTTGAAGCTTGAAACGGGCGAAAGCGACGATGGTCAGCAGCCAATAAAGAGGCTGAACAGGCTTGTTCCAAGGGTGAACCAGTCTTCTTGAACACGAGGTGCTGTAAGTAGTAGCTCTACTGCATGATGTGCATCACAAGCACCACACATTACCGGTCGAGCTTCATACACGGTACAATCCGGCCTCGGGTGTCCCCCACCATACCTGTGAGGCATCGCGGGGCTTGATAGGCTTCGTCGATAACGGCGATAGGCGTCGCATGGCCCACAAAAAGAAACGGCGATGCCCAGGATGCCCTACCTGGTACGCAGGCCGATTCCGTGCTTAGCTGTCCTTCCGCCGCCGACAACGTCGCCTGTCAAGTACTAAACCGGCCCCCAAGCAGCCTTGGTCGTTCTTCTGAGCCCGCAGCAGGACCAAGTCGGTCGGACACCTGTAGCGATGTGCTAAGCGGACTCCCATGGGCATGTGCCTACCTAAGCTTCAAGCACCAGCTGCTTCTTCAGACACTTCTTTCCCTTCTTGAGGCCCCGAGTCTCGGCAGAGGCTGTGCAGCTTCATTTATTGGCCGCTCTCCTGTGTCCCGCCTGCGGCCAAGAGCTGCTGCCCACCGTAGTGACTGGGCCGACGTGATGATTTGATCGACCAGCGGAAAACCACGAGCCACTCGCTCGCTACTCGTTGCTTGCACTGCATGCACTATTGTTGATCACAAGTCAAACTCTACTCACTTCCAGTCTTGATGAGCACGCGCCGACTCGCACTCTCCCTTACCGTAAGTTGTTGCATGTTACGTCGTGACATTCGCGAAAAGAAGACTGTCCACCTCGTCATCACGGGCCTCCTGTTGCGGAGAGCTCATCCACCTCAACATGAGCCGGCCCTCGTCGAGGTCTCGAGCTCCGATGAGCATGGAGGCTCTCTTGGACGAGGAGAACCGGGAAGTCCTAGCGGCTCTCGACCGAGACATAAGACGTGCCTCCAGTCCTGTGCCCAAGTTCAGACCGATGAGAACTGCGACCCCTCCTCCACACGTCCGCAGTATGCTCGATGTCGACTCTCCCTCTCCTCGACGCAGCTCAATAGCCGGAATCGGCGTTGGCATTACCAGTCCTACCAGTACAAGGAAAAGCGGCAAAGAGCTCGATCCCACCGACCCCAGCAGCTGGACCTCTCCTCATTCCAGCAAACCCAACTCTCCCGTGCTCACAAAAGCTTCCCCAGTCATCACGCGACAGCGAGATTCCTCGGAAATTGAGCGCCCGGTCGGGCTGCCTAAGATAGAAAAAGATGACAAGCGTGGTTTTGAGCAGAACTATCAATTCGATCTTGCATCGATCCCGTCCAGCGGGCCTGTGTCGCGTTCACCCGCGGATAGCAAGAGACGTCGGGAAGGCTCAGGCGCGGCGATGGCTGTGGCCCTGACAGAGGACTCGGGTTCTTCTCACGTCGGCTTACACGGCGCAGGGCGTGGAAAGCAGAAATCTGCTACAGCGGCTGCCAGCCATTCGAGATCTCCCTCGTCCCCAGCTCGTAAGCCAGAAACTCCCAAGCCAGGGCTTCTCAGTCCTAATAGTCCGCCTGCTCCATTGACGACGAACTCCGGCACCGTAGTGGATGACCAGGCTCATCTTCGGTTGACCCCAGCGAAGTCGGGTAGTTTCTCGACGCTCACCAACGACTCGGACGACCCCGGTAGGATTACCAAGGATGATGCGAGCGGTGAAGACGATGCTGTAGATAGTGACGAAGATATGAGCAGTGACGAGGACGAGACTAGAGGTCGGTCGGAAAGACGGAAGCTTTCCTCTAACGGCAGTGCGCCGGATGTGAAATCTCCTGCTTCGAGCGCTACTTCATCACCAGAGGATGTCAAACGAGTATCACATTCCCAGCAATTTGTCAAGTCACTGCTGGAACCGTCGATTTCAATCACCAGTCCAACCGGAGAGAAGCTCAACGATGGCAGGGGAGGGACAAGTACTCCGACAAGACGGTCGTCTGTGGCGTCCGCAACTGACGACGAGGATGACGAGGCGGCCGCCATCAGGAAGGCAAAGTCGCTAGGACTGAACGAATCTCAGCTTGACACAACAGTCGCTGGTCGGCACGTGCAGATGGTGCTGCGGGGCAATTGGGCTCAGTTCCATCAGGAAGCGGAAGCTGGAGAACGGACGACCAGGCTCTATCTTCTTTGCTCCGATCTAAGTGTTGAGGCGAGCTATGCGATGGAATGGGTGGTGGGCACGATGATGAGAGATGGGGACACGCTCCTTGCCATCTACGCCATGGAAGACGAAAATGCGGCAAAGGCGACCGAAGCCGAAAGAGAGGTCCTGACTGCGGAAGGGAATAAGGCTGGTAAAGACGCTTCAGATGTTATGGCCACCCTGACACGGCAGACGACGCAAGGTGGGGGTTCAAGTATAGGAGTGGGCAAGGAAGCCAGGTACATTCCAGCAATTGAAGCAGAGAGTCTGACTGGCAGCGTCGACGCGAGAAAGGTCTCCAGGAAAGAAATGGATCGGCTGAAGGCTGTGGAAGCTCTCAAAAATGATTTTTTAAAGTTGGTGCGGAAGACAACGCTGCAAGTGAGGTGTATGATTGAGGTCATTCATTGCAAGAGTCCGAAGCATTTGATTCTTGGAGCAGTGAGTCTGCTTTACACCTGCTTGCGACCCAGGCTAATTCCTTTACCAGATTGACGAGCTCGACCCGACACTCTGCGTAGTGGGTACACGCGGCCGCAGCTCTCTCAAGGGAGTCCTCCTGGGGTCGTTCTCGAACTACCTCGTCACCAAATCATCCGTGCCCGTCATGGTTGCTCGAAAGAGAATGAAGAAATCTCATTCCGGACCTTTGATCAGCAGCTCCAAGATACGCCTGAGGAACAACTTGACGGCCAGCAATTTCCCGATCAAACGTAAGAGTCTAACCCAGGCAAGAATTGACTAGAAGTCAAAAACAGGCAGCGTCAGAGGCAGGCGACATCCGGAGGCTCAGTTGGAAGCCACAGACTCGAGGGTCGATTGGGAATCAGAGAAGGAGAACCACAAACAAAGATGGCAAGCGAAAGAAGCCGAATGGGAGGAAGCAGCCAACGCGGAAGGTAAGGGGAAGCAGATAGCCCGACGTTCTATCTGGACGGATACCAAAAGCCACGATGCAGGAGTGGACGAGGCTAAACAAGCGGCCAACAGCAACTCTGGATTGTTCCGGCGCATGTTGGAGCGGGTAGAAGCTCACAGTCCACGCAGCTCTACCAGAAGACTGTCCATATAAAGCGACCCGGGAAGTGCGGCATTTTGAAGGAGAATTGCGCGAATCTGGAAAGGTTGGAGGATGGAAATGGCACCCTCTAAGGAACAGGACATGGACATGGCCAGAGCAAGGCTTCCAAAACTCAAAATGCATTGATGATGATGAGCAACAGCATCGGAATGAGACAACGAATAGTTATACCCTCAGCGGAACAGTTTTGTCAACAGACGGAGTGTATCGGTTACACAGCATCCCCTTTGGAACGGTGATCCAACTTTACATACACAGTAAGGATCTTAGCCTCTATGCTGAGGGCATCACCGAGGACCCATTGACGTGGTGTTCTTCCTCGAATATCTCGTTCTTGCTGCTGGTTGGCGCCCTTGAGATTTGCCTAGACTTCTTCAGTCGTGGTTTGGCATGGTTTTTCCTTGCCCTCATTACGCTGCGCTGGCTGCTTGCTTGCGATCTTGGTTATTGGTCGATCCGACGCATACGGCACGGACAAGCAGCGACCACGTCGCTGGGAAGATCGTTGACGCTATTGCAGAGCGGTCCATCGGCGCTGAGCACAACAAACACACTTTCCCACTTCCAAGCCCCTTCCTTTGCTCCTCAGAAGCACCAAAGCACCCTGGACGTTGTTGTAGGTCGGTGGTGTGTCCACTGCGGCACGAACACTCGTGGCCATAGACGACTGCGCCTTCCATTGGTGACTTGGACGGCTCCTCGATGGCGAAATGCCTCGTATACCGTTGTTTTAAGGAAGTTCGAGGAGCCCTTTCGTCCACGTCCGGGCCAACTGCGTATAGGTACGGGGCTTGCGTGTGTGCGTGCGCTCTTTCAACTGTTGTGTTCTGCCAAACGTCTCACTCACAATCATTGTACCTTTACACTCAGCCCATCTCAGCCCGGCTCAGCCCGGCTCAGCAGAGCTCTGCTCACCGCGACAAGTCCACCTCCATCATCCTCTTCTTCGGATTCCGCGGCTGCTGTTCCTGCCGTTTTCTCTCTTCGGGCGATATGCCGTCCACGTTCGTTACCGGTGCTGGTGTGTTTACGACGGCGGCGGTCGCAACGCTTCCCCCGTCCGCCGCTCCAGCGCGCCCAGACACAGAAACAGACGCACCATGATGCCCCTCCTTGGCGACGCCCAGGATGTCGGCCTCCAACCCGGCGACGTGCTCCCACGGGACGCCCGCGTCGTCGAGCATCCTCAGCGCCTGGCTGTCCTGGACAAAGGTCCCCGGTTCGCGCGCCCCGAAGACGACCTTCCTGATCCCGCCGTCCGGGTTGCCCTCGCGCGTGGCGATGATCCTCTGCACGCACGGCGTCGCGCCGCTGAGACGCAGCCCGCACGGCTCGAGGCTCGTGTACAGGTGCACGTTCCGCTCTGGTGTCAATACCGCGCCTAGGCCGCCGGGTTTTTGCTCCTGTTCCTGTTCCTGTTCCTTCCCCTGCGTATGCTCTCTATCCTCGTAATCCCGCGCCAGCTTCGTCAGTGCATTCTGCTCGGCGTGGGTGTTGCCTTCGAGTTCGAGCGTAAAGCCCGTGGAGAGAACGTCGCCTTTCGGAAGAGCATCCTCATCGTTTGTGCCCGTGCCTGTACCGGTGCGGGAGGAGTCGACGGCTGGGAACGAGACAATCACGCAGCCGACGCGAAAGTTGGTGGGTTTGGGCGGGGAGAGGCGCGCGAGCGAGATGCATTGCCTTAGGTAGTGTAGGTGGGTGGATGTTGATGGGCCAGTGTCATGGGTAGGACCAGGAGGGGACATGTTTTGTTTGGGATCATCGAACGAGGGTCTCGAAGCGATTGCTTTCCTCTGTACTTTCCGTAAATACAAGGGAGAATCATCATCAACCCGTGGGTGACTCGCTCCAGTTCACAAGATGACGACTGCGGGGAAGTGACGAGGCTGCGATGCAAGGCTGGCGAGGCTGGCAAGGCTGGCAAGGCTGGACAAACGTATTTAGCAGCGAAGGCAGATAGGAAATATCAAAGATCAGACGGAAATTCAGAGATTGACGAATGAGATCGACCGAGAAACGAGACAGCATTCTGTTCTCTTGTTGGATTTCCTCTGACCGTCGTTCCTGCGTACATGGCCTTGACTGTGTGTGGAAGTGCCGGTATTATTCAAGCGTTTCTATGTCCACATGTCGCCAGAGAGCCTTTGCGTGCTCATTTACGCCCATTTATTTCCCCTTGTTCTGTTCTCTGTCCGTCACATTTCTTGCATGCTTTGTTCCATACCCATTGTCCCAAGTCAAGATCCCAGTCCCATCCCACAAAAGAATCGCTTGGCCCTAGCCGCAAATACACCCCGGGTATCGTAGGGAAATTTGGCTCAAAGAAACATGCCCCGAGAAGCGAATCAACCACGCGAACCAGAACGAATGAAAACAAAATTAATCCGACTCAAGCGGACTTTACCGCCGAATCTTCGGCTTCTGTCAGTTTTGTCGGAGAGTCGACCATCGTTGAGCCCGCCAACAAAATCGACAATTGGTCAACGTCGCTTGGTGTGGCAGCTTTGACAGGCTCTTTTTGGCCCGCTGCCTCGGCTTCCCGTTTCTGCAACAGGATCGTCCTATCCTTCCTCTCTCTGATGGTTTTCAGCAACCCCGAGACCTGATATTCGAGATCGTTCAAGTCAACGGCTTCCTTGCTGTTGACCAACTTCTTCTTGTAGATTTTCAACATCCGCGCGGCCTGATCTGTCGCCATTGCCAGACTGCCAAACTCGGATGTATGGCTCATGCTCTGCCTACGGCCCTGTATCATCGCCTGCGCACGCAGGTCCGAGGGCACCGAAGGGGCTCTTCGCAATCGGCCATTGTTAGCCATTTGCCGCTGCTTGGGTGTTGTTGGGACTGGTACCGCTGGTGGCGATGGTGATCGTTCCGAAGTTGCGCCTGCTTTTTTCTCAATATCCCTGCTGAGTTCAGTTCTGGATCCTTGGCTTCTTAGTTTCGCTCGCACCGGCGGCGAAGGCGAGCGCCTGGGATCAAGACTGGCCGTGTTTGGCGACCTGGCGCTTCTCGGACGTGCCTCCACGTCGCTAGTTGGTACCTCTTCTACATCTTCAATCGATGTGGTGAGAGCAAGCCTTGATGTCTTGCGCTTCAGCCGTGCAGGCGACAATGAGCGGGCAGAAGACGGTGAGAGTTGACCATTGAGTCCTGAGAGATCCGCTATCTCAATCTTGCTCAAGACCTTCCTCATTGGTGGAAGCGACGCAGGACTTCTTTTAGCCGCCTCGTGCTCATCGTTCACCGGTCCTAGCCCGACAACCTGCTCGTGGGGGAATCCTGCAGTGGCTGATGAAGACTTCAAGACGTTCCAAATCAGAATTGTTCCATCCAGCCCTGTGCTGACAAACAGGGACCGAGGTGCAGACACGGAATGTGCAGACCGTTCGAGGAGTGCTACATCACTCACACCCTCTGTATGGCCAGATTCCCTGACAAGGAGAGACATGTTCTCACGGTATAGTCGAATTGACTTGTCGATCGAGCAGTGTCCGATGAGCATCTTCTGCGCACCATCTGTGCTGTCCTGGCCGGAAAAGGTGATCATTGAGTTGAGAAAGACGGTATCGTTTGTGTCAGGGTCTCCGGTCTTGGACGAATCAAGCAAAGTACCCGTCGAGACATCGACTCTCGTGACGCAACGGTCCATGGTAGAGACCGCAAGTGTGCTTTCGTTGAGCATGGCCATTGACAACGGGGAGCTCTTAAGGCTTAAGACTTTGGTCGTAAGGTATGCGACCGTGCTCAAGCCACTCTCTTCTCGCAGCACTCGATCACGGATCACCAGTGAGCGATCTGCTGAGCAAGACAGTAACCTAGCACCTTCATTGGAGAACAGCACCTCATTGACTGCCCCTACATGATCATCCATCGTTTGCATAAGCGAGAAGGTAGATCCATTGATGTGAAACAGTTGCACCATTCTGTCCCTGCTGCAGGTTGCGACCAGTGAAGCAGGATCATAGATGTCGATGCACGATATCACCGTACTGTGGGCCCGGACCGTGTGATTGACTTCCCAGTTGCGACTGTCGAGCAGTTTCAACACTCCAAAGCGATCAGCAGCAATAAAAGCATCGTGGCTTGAGAGGTATCGCATCCGGGTAAGTTCATTTTCGCAGCTGTCATCCTCGGACTCAGTGGGATCAAGAGATATAGACTCCTGCCGCAGCAGAACACCATCAGTATTCCAGAACTTGACCTCTGCGTTCTTGGAATATGTAAAGAAGTCGCCTCGACCCGCAGTCTCAGGAAGGGCCTGCACACCGAGTATCACGCTCTTGTGAGCCGCAAACGTGGGTGACGGCTCATCCAATCTTGGCGGACCATTACTCTGGATCTGCAAGCTGCCGTTGTTGTCCAGGGTTACGGTATGATTCCTGAGCCCTCCGATCGCAATTATGCTCTTTTCTGTCTCTTGAAGCAGGCCCATTGAACGGCGAATCGAGAGTCGTGGGGCCTTTGTACGTGGTCTCTTGAGCGCCGAAGGAGTCTCCCTGCAGAGAGCATCAAAGTCCCCATGTTGCACACCTCGCGATGTGCCCATGAGCAGCTGTCTCGGTAGAGGGATAAACGCAATCGCGCTGACAGCAAGGTCGAGTTTCTTGAGCACCTTCAACTCCAGCACATTTTGAGCCATGTCCACAAGGCAAACATATCCGGTGTCCGTTCCGATGACCAGGTTGTTCTCGTCGATCGGGACAGTGCAGGTGAACGTGCAGTCCACCATGGAGCCCAGAAGTACATTTCTGCCTGCCAGTGGCGTGGGACCGGGACTCGAGGGTGGTGTGTCCGTCGACTTGTATCGAGGTCTCCTTGTGGGCGACTGTTTCGCCGCCGCCTCATTCACGCCCCAAACTCGAATACATCTCGTGCCCACCGTGATCAAGCTATTTCCGCAGAAAGTCATGTCGCAAATATTGGCTGTGCATTTGTTCGCGGAATGGAGAGTCAATTGGCCCGTCCGGGAGTTGAACGACCAAATGAAAAGAAAGCCATCCTTGTAGTCTCCGAGAGTGGCCAGGTACCTCATATCTGGGCTGAAGGCTACGCAGCGCAGGCCATAAGTGTGATCGGTCACGATGGAGACGGGTATCTCACAGGAAGCGTCTTCGGCAGTGGAGAAGAGTAGGACCCGAGGATTGTACCCTGCCTCTCCCACGGCTAACCATCGCCCATCGCGACTTAATGCTACGCAGGCAACAGTCTTGATACGCTCCCTTGCGGTCCAAGTCTGGCTCCCATTTTCGTCTGACCAGTCTCGACCGGGCGAACCACCGTTGTAGTCATCGAGTCGCTTTCGAGACGTAATTGTGCTAATCCTCCTCTTTGATGGGGTGCTTGCTGGCGAGCTATCATAATAAGAGGTGGGAGGATTCAAGGACGGCGCAGTCGGTCGAGCCTTGTAGTATCGATGTATGGGTGTGCCATCGGACGCGAGCTGTGAGAAGACGGCGACTGCGCCGGCGCAATAGGCATAGGAGTCCGTGTCAGAACAACATGCCAACCCGCTGGGACCGTTGGTCGTGGTGCCGATAACCCTTTGTAGTTGAAGGGTGTATTCTGGTGGTCGGGTTTTCCGAGTGATTCCAGCTCCGGTCTTTGAGATGGTTGGCGACGCATTGGGTGTTGCACGCAAGGAAGGGGCTTGGGTTTCTGCTAGCCTGCTTCGAAGGCTGTAGTGTGAGGACATGTTTCACATTGCTGATCGCATCGCCCCAGTGGTTTCAATGAGATGCTGCGACCATGGACAGGGCCTTTGGTGAGAAGGACGCGACATTCATTTAGAGTATCACTCAAGGCCAAAGTCACGAGACTTTCCCGGACAGAATCTCTTGCACGTCGCATCTGCTGGTAAGCTCGATCTCATAGCAGGGCATCTGGGGTGCGTCGCACAGGTGAGTCGAGATTGAAGGCTGCAAACTTCACGGGTTGTGTTGCCCTACCACTCATGTTTACATTGGCTTACCCGATTCGGAGCTAAGCCACATTCCTCAAGCCTCACAATGTGGCGTCGGCCTCAGCCTTGTGCGCTACGAGGAGGGGTAAACTGCAAGGTTAGCAAGGCTGTGAAACAGCTCCACGCGGGTGCTCTCTGTGCGTGGCTCGCCGGATCTGATTCAGCTCTTCGGATGATCTGCTGGCGCCGTTTGAACACCTATTCCAGAACGATTCTGATCACCGATGCTTCACAGCTGAAAGTAACGCCGGTGCACACTAGACTCCGGTGGCGCTCTTAAGAGTGTGCAATGACATCTTCGTCTTTGACAGACACTTGTTGGCAAGTCAGGCGGTCAACTATCAGTTGATGGTTTCGGCGTTGTTCGGAAGAGGGCACACTTCTGCGTCCAATATCACAGCAGAATATGAGGACTGCTGCATGAAACTCACCTGCGAGCGTCTCTGCCGTGATGTCATGGCCATGCGGCCGGAACGCTAGCAATTTGTCGACACTAGGTGCACGTCACTGGCACGTACCATAGCACCGAGTGATATGGTTATGGTTATGTAGGAGAGGCGTGCAGGTGGCAGCGTGCCCTGGCAGGCTCGGACGACTCAGTCGCGGTACAAGTATTGCCAACTCTGGACGTCCAGGGGTCCAAGGGCGTCTCAGCTCGTGTTCATTAAGTGCAAGCAGACTTATAGTTATTGTATTTTCTGTACACGAACACTTTACAATCCACAAGGGCCAATGATGGATGCCTGGCTGGTACGAACCCGTCACATCCTGTACAGGGTATGCGTCGGGCATCCGTCAAGACCAATGGCCCGTCAACGCATTCGTGGCTTGCGCGCGAAGCCGCACCAGAAGGGAGAGGAATTTACGACAGGTTCTAGACTTTGATGGAGCTTTGTGTGCGAAGAGCATTGGCGATCGAGTGCGGATGTCGTAAGGGCTGTCGTGTTGCCGATCAATCACTGTTTCTTGGTATGTTACGGCGACCCCAGGCCGAGAGCAATACCACCTTGGGCAGGGCTGACCGATAAGTGATACAACGCTACGGACGAATCAGCCTGTCATACCCAGAGCGGACCCTGGTCCAGCTCTCCGGGACAGAAAGCGGCTCACGTATCCTCTAAGCGCATGCTATGGCACACCCATTGGGGGCATAGTTCGTAGCCGTTGATTCGTTTGACGGACTGGAAGATACGGATGCAGGCTGACAATAAATCTGAAGCTCTTGGGAAAGGTCTTGGAGTTTGACCAGGGGCGCATGTCGTTGACTTCTGCGACTGGTTCCTTATCGGCATTGCTGAACGGATCCCAGTGCGTTTGCGGGGAAATTCTGTCGAGGGTTGGTGTGTGTCACGCCTTCGTATCGCGAGAAGCGGGAGTATTATGCCTTCTATCGCAGGCACATCCCACGTGCATGGCCGTAAGGAAGACTTTGGACGCCTCGCGTCGAGAAACCCGAGTGGTGATCCCGTCCCGTCGCACTCCGTATTTGCTGCTCGTTTTCCACACACCTCTCAATACGGTGCAAAATATTGGGCTGAGAAGAGAATAAGAGTTGGCGATGGATGCGCACAGCCAGGTGAGGTAGAGCAGCTATGTCTGCGCACATCTGGTCTGAGCGCCGCCACCCATGATCTCTCAGAGTTATGCTATCCTTTGCGACCACCGCTGCCGCTATGGAAATGGCCGCAGGGGCATGCCCGAATAAGGCAATCGGCTGAGGACCAACGGGTTGCAGCTGGCAGCTGGGGGTGGACAATTAGCCCGACGATCAGCTCGGAGCCGCACCTCGTAGAATGTTGGAACCTTCCGAAGTCCATCGTTTATCGTCGACGCGCCTGAGGACACGCCTGAGGTTAGGTGCCTGAACTGCGCTGCAGGGTTGACCAGTTACAACCAATTGCGGCATTGTAGGGCGGCACCTGCTGGTCTGGCAGGACAAGGCGGGAAGCATGGTCGAGTCATTCTCGCAAGTGACGCCCGTATTCGCTGGTCTGAAGGTCCCAAGCATTCAGTGTCGCGATATTAGTCGCCAGAGCATATGCTCTTTTCGGACTGACCACAGCAGGCCGGTAGAGACTGTGTTTTAAGTTCTCCTACCAGGCAGTCGAGGACACGCACTTGGTGCCACCGGGAAAACTGGGCTTGAGCACGCCTTCAAGGAAGGCCTTAAAGTTAGACTTTCACCGAGTCCAATTGGCTTTTACTCTCTGTCTCCCCACCGTGCGCAGGAGCGGATGGTCAATTATCGCGGGAATTTCTTCTTGTTGCTGGAGTGACTCGCTGGCTCTCCAATCACCTTGTGGTACATGGCGATTATTGCGCTTTCAATGGGCAGGACTTGCCGGCCTCCCAACTGGTACCTGATTTCCCACTCTGTTGATCCTTCGGATTGCTTGGTACGAGTACAATACCACACCTCACAAGGTCCTTTCCTGACGTCCACTGTTGATAACCCCATGTAGAAGTCTTTGCTCCCACTAATGGTGTTCCTCATGCCCGAAGATTTCCCCTCGGAGACCCTGCATGTGTCATACGGTCATCAAGCGTTGGTCGTGCAAGACACCAAAGCCATCCCATCCCATGCTGCGCCGCATGCGCTTTCGCTCAAGTGCAATTGACAAGAAGACAAACTGGCCTCTGGAGATTGGTATCTCAAGCCCTCTTCGAACGCCAGGTACGAAACCAAACCCAAGTCGTAGAAATGTACCCTACAATGAATCCTCGAATGAATGTAACGCGAACTCTGAATTGAGGTCGACGGCATTCTTGTCAAAGTAGCATTCGGGTCCATTGTAGAGCATGTTGTCTGGAGTTGAGAAGGCGTCGAACTTGTCGAACTTGTCGGGCATCAACATCTCGCTGAATGACTGGTCCTGACACGATCTTAGAGCGTTGAGCTCTGCGGTCAGCTCTGATATCCGGCCGTTGAGCTTGGACACCTCATCGGCCTGTCGGGTATATGACTGTAGGAGATCTTGGTGCTTCTCGTGAAGGTCCTCTAGTTGGCGCTCGAGGCCCTTGACGTGCTTTTCTTTCCGTTCTCTAAAAGCCCGTTGCGATGCACGGTTTTGAGCCCTACGTCGCTGCTGGCAGTCAGTGAACGTTGCCCGTGGGAAGCGTTGGGCCGACGTACCATGTGCATGTTGGGGATGGATTCCTTGTCCTTGGCTGTAGGGGCCGAGGTGCTGCCGGACCGTCTTCTTCGTCGGTCGGTCTGGTCAATAGTGGCCGCGTTGTACTCCGCGGGAATCTTTGTGGGCTGTGTCGTCGGGTAGAAGGATGCCTGTGAGGTTCCATACTGATACAGGTCGTACTGCATTGACGCAGAATTGAACATCATTTGACTCATTTGCTTCTGTCGAGTCAGTGACGCGCTCCACGAGCATCGACACGTCGGTACTTACATGAGGTGAGTTGGGACTTGACCCCTCTGACGTGCTATCGAAGTATTGACCGGCAGTGAAGAGCGACTGACTTGGTGATTGTGATGGTGAGCTCACAAAGCCAAAGTCCATGTTGATATCGTGGTTCCGGGTCGACGTCATTCAAGACAAGAAGCGGTCCGGGGTGTGCTTTTTTATCTGTTTTCGAACGTGGAGAGGCAGACGGTAAATTTGAGCCAGCGCGTCGAGTATCCAAGGCAGGCGACAAAAGATTGTCGGATGAGTTTGGTATTTTATCAAATGTCAGATGCGGCGGATGTCAATGGACTGTTAAGGGGAATTAAGATATAATCCGCTTTGGCAGGATCTGATTGCGGCTGTTCAGGGCCCAGCGGCGCTACTGGAACAGACGAGGATTATTGTTCTCCCATGCGTCCAAATGCGCTACAATATTTGGCAGCACGCCCGGCGTCCCTAGCCCGAGAATCATGAATTGATCGGTTGCAAGGGTGTTCGGCTGCTGGACCAGAAAGCGCCGGGCGTGCCAGGTAGCGGCTTGCTTGGGCCAACTGCCACTTGGGAGCATCGTCGGTTGACCGACGGGAAAAGTTACGGGTGAGAACAGATCCTTGCCCAGTTGACGTTGGCAGCTGCACCCTGGTCCAAACGGACTCCTTTCGCCGACTACCCAAAGAGGGTTGGCGCTGGCCGTGGAAGCCTGTCCAAGAAATTTCGAAGCACGTTAGAAGCCTGTCCTGAGGTCAGCAGTCCCGGAGAGGGCCACCAGCGGGTGATGAACGACAGACTTCCTAAGGGCTTGGACCACTGCGAGCCCGTCGTGTCAGCGTTCGCGTGGGCGGGCCCAAGGTGCCCTGATTGGCAGAACAGCAAAGTCATCAATTCGAGGCTGCATGGCGGGTGGGTGGGTGGACTCTGCAACTAAGGCAAAATCACCAAGCAGTCTCCCTGCGCTGCGACTGGTTCAGACCTGGGTACTAGGCCGGGCTAGTCGAGAAAGCTCGGACCACCTTAGACTTCCTCTTGTGGCAGGCGCCCTTAACCTTGTTGGGTCTCCCGCAAAGTGCACTGTGTGTGCGACGATAGCCAGCCGCAAACCTGCCTGCCTCGTACGAGTACGAGTAGATCGTTGACCGATCATCCCATCATCCATCACCCATCAACGAGCTCGAAGCCTGTCCGTGTCCAAACACAAGCTATGTAGAGCCAAAAACAGTGATATGTACTCGATTTACTGATGTCCTTGTTTCGCGCGTGTGGCACATCGCCAGGCACGAGCATGTCCTGTGAGGAGTTCTCCGTTCTGATCCGTGGTCCTTACGACTATCTGTTCAGGCACTCTCAGTCCTGCCGGCCTGATGTTCAGAGCTCGAGTGCTCGTACGTAGTCCGTCGCTACGATGCCCGCCGAGATCCCCGCGTCCACGACTATCTCCCTTGCAATTGCTGCTGCTCATGTAATATGTTTCTTGCTGACCGATAATGTCTTGACCGCTCTTGGGTGAAGTGCATCACACGCTAGTCAGCCACGTCAAACACGCTCGCTCGCAAGCGCAGCCGTACCCTGGACTTTGGAGTTTTTCAGGCGTCTGGACCTCGTTCGATGCATGGTTAGCCCTAGTCGTCTCCCACGAATGCCCAGTTGACTGCTGGATGTGGAGGAGATGCGAGCAGGGTTCTCAGGCGCGGTTCGACTTAGCGCTGACGCCACAAACTGCTCGATCCGGAAAGTGCTGGGATGGCTGCCTTCAACTGCGTCACAGTGCATTGCGAAGGGCAGTCGAATACGGATGCCTCTTCCGAGGTCACTAAGCCGCAGAGCGTAATGGGTGCAAATCATCGTGATGCGTCCGCTACTCTCAATTGCCAACCAGGTGGTTGAGTTGTCCAATGACCACTCGGCCCGGGCCCACACAAGCCCTAAAACGATGATGCCTTGACGCTGCCCGGCGCTCCTTCCAATCCCGCTCAGTCATGTGCTCAATGGTGCGGCGAGCGCTGAGCTTTTGATAAAGTCTCGTAGCAAGCCCTTCTCAGTTCTTCCTAATCCCATGATCCCAGAAAGCAGCGACAGTCAAGGGCTGGGTTGAGCTTTGCGATTCTGGGTTGCTGCCCTTCTTGGCACATGCTTTCTTGGGAAATGAGCCCGTGCTGCATCCGAAGCTGCATGAGGCAAGCCATCATTGGCTTCCGTTGAAGAGCTACTGCTCGGACGCGTTCGCTATTGTTCGCTGTCTCTCGCTGTATTGCGGGATGGTAGCGGGCCTCAACTAGGGCATATGCGTATCCTATCGGCAAACGAGCGCCTAAAACTTCAAGGCTCTCAGCCCAGTCATCCTGATTCGTATGTCACGAGTTGATGGTCCCGTTCAAGCACTCGATTACCGTGCCCGTCACAGACCCTGTAGGCCCTTGAATAATGCGAGCAGGCGGGGGCAGCTTACTGTTGGATGTATATGGAGCCCAGAAAGCTGTGCTCGGAAATATGGTGTCTACGCAGTACTAATCTCAACCCAAAATTGGGCCCAGAACACCATGTGGTCGATGACCGTGGAGCCGAGGGACCCTTGAGATCAACGATATCTAGCCACAAAAGGCAATATTTTAGAGCACCTACCGCAAACGGCGGCGATCTTGTGCTCTCAAGATAGCTCTCGCCAACGCTCATCGGCGTAGATCTCTTCGATTCATGCAGGAAGAACACAGTCCATCAGTCAAGCTACCAGGCCTCCAGCATGTTCGGCTGATATGGATGAAAGGACTGCGAAAGAGTTTTCGTCTTCGATCCTATCACGGACAGCCTGGAGATGGATCTGGGACTCACTGCGCAGACACAACCATCGTCATGGTTCCTCGACACAGCCGAATGAAACGTAGTCGACAAGGGCCAGGGAGAGTTGCATGTGGTTGAATGCTCAAACAGGAAGGCCCCACATTTCAGGGCAAACGGTCCGAAGCCGGTGCCAGTCCTCGGGAGTCCGCAGCTCCCAGCCACGTACAGAACGCATTGGGTTAATAACGACACTACGAGGTAGGCCACGGAAGGAAAGTCGAGGTTGTGTTCGGCGTGTCTCATCCTTGCTGCTGCAGGACTCCCAGTACGGAAGCTGCACCAAACCCCTATGAGCGTAGTGTCCTCGTCAACATGGACGGATTTCTTAGGTAAATCTTGACAAAGTGACTTCTGCAGGTACGAAATCACGAGAGCTGATGAAGTCAGCTGGAAACCGACGACATGAGAGAACGGTTTCTTCCACCGCTCCAAGAGCTGGGTGGGCACAGCCAACTCGCATAGTGACATTCCACCTTGACCACCGGGCACAGAATGACCCATCGCCGATTGCACGGTTGTGGGCGAATGCAAGTCAAACTTCCGGCGCGAAGAAATCTGCCGGTGACCACTCGCACGCATCACCATGGGTCTTTAATTACCTAATCTCCAAGTGAAAGTAATCGGAAAGCAGAGAGAGAATGACGGAGAAAGCAGGGCCACAAGGCTAGCAGTGATACGACTCCCGTGCCTTTCATTGTCGTCTAAGCTTTTGCGCCTCAGCCCGAATATTGTTACCACCGCCCCATTATCGTTGGCATCTAGCCAGAACAGGAGAAATCTCTAATAGAGCAAGTTGCGATGAGCCGAGAGCCGCATCTGTCAGACTCATTGCGGCGGCCCCATACCCATACCGCGAGCGGCGAGCGAGGAAGTCGGTCCCTGGCCAATGTACTAGGAGGGGCGCGCACATGTACTTTTCGATTACACCGACGCGCTCCCCCGTCTGACCCCCGCCAGAGATAGAGCGGTTGGAAGTACTGAACAGCAGTGCAAGTTAGCATTCCTGTGGGGCCACCAGCTCCTGGAGGCGAGTCCCAGAGTTTTGCCGTAGCCCGTAGATACGCCGGAGACCGCGTGCTGTGCCCGGAAGATGAACCTCGAGCACCAACCGCACTGAGATAGGGCTGGTCCACTATCTCGGTTACATGGCCTCGGACATCATTTGCCGGAGATCATATTTCCTGAACATGGCTGCAGGGGAACGTGGCTTGATGTCGTACAGCAGTACTCCGTGGTTCACGGGTGTCATTAGGTGTAAGCAATGATTTGCCCGCTTGCCAGAAGCACCGCGAAGACAGGGTCGGTCAATGAACGGCACCGATGGTTGAAACAACGAGGTCAAGGGTACCTCGTACGGAGTAGTCCATCTCTATGCTCATATTGATGCAGAGCTGGTGATCAGCATGAGATCACGGGCCAACGCAACGGCTTCACGTGGGTTGAGGACGAATATCGGCGATCAATGGTGCGATGTCTTGGCGATGAAATTCCAAGTTGTACTGTATTTAGGCTGATACAGGGCTTCGACTTTTGGTCTTGTACCTCGTCCGATCCCTGCCTTTACAGACATCCGATCCAGCACGACGCGAGACCGCAAGATTTGCTGGAGATGCGAGGAAGGTGATACAGGTCGAGGCAGATACTCAGACATTCCTGCCCGTGCGCGCGAGGATCGCTCATCTAAGAGATCACACTGATTTTCTTGCTTAGTTTCTGTGTCACAATAACATCGATGTCAATCTGTGATCTGCGGGAGAGTTTTTGGACGGTCAAAGACGCATTCACCTGACCTACGGCCATCGCAACAGCCTTGCCGGACCTACGTCGAATGCGAGACTTCTGACCCCCACTATCGACACTTTGGCGAGGGTTTGTGCACGGTACCTGACAAGCCTATAAGTGCGATGAGCATGGACCAAGTACATAGTATCATGTGGCAGTCTCTGGACCAAACATGCATGCACACCAATCGGTAGAGACAGCAGCAATGCAACGACCCCTGTGCGATCGAATGCATAACTTCAGAGCGAAAATACTCTGTTCCCCTGATTCATTCCAGAACTCTTTCTATCTACGACGCCGGTGT